ACCATTCCCCCATCCCTTCCTCAAATGGGACCCCTCTCCCCAAAAAAACCAATAAACAATCCAATTTCATCCTCTGAAATAATTTCTTGCAGCTATTGGCAGAATAGGGAGTCACCGTGGCAGGAGCGGCTAGACACTCGCCATGGATCGGAAGGTCGTTTGTTTGCTCTCTGGCGAAGCCGGACTTTTAATAAAAATGACCTTGGCTTCCAGGTCGACCTAGCCTTGAGTGAGTACGGTGGTGCAGTCCTGGGAAGCAAAGGTGGCTGGTGTGATGCTGACCACATCACCCACGTTGCGCCAATTTGTCTATAAAATATAGGTTTACCCCTATATGCTCTATATGCCTAAAGGCGTTGAAAAACAGTCAATGATTTTTTTTGTTTAGCTGAATATACAACACAGTGGTCTCATCAGAGTAAAAGGAAAACTATCTGTATGGGTTAAATAAAATCAGATATTCAGTATCATCATCAAGTGAGGTTACTCATTTTGGCTGTCCAGACAATTTAACCAATCTTCTGTAAAAGCACATCTCTGAGACCTCAAGAAATTGTTTTGGTTGTTTATTAACTGTCCAAGATTCACTGCATATGTTGGCTCTGTACAGCATGCGATAATTCTTTTTCTCACCTCCCATGACATTAATTTAGTGCATAAGATGTTCTTCAGACAGACATTATCCTTACAATATAAATAAGAATTAATGGATTCATTTCAACTGAATACCTGTAATAAAATGAGACTTCCATTTCGGTACGGTGTTCAAGTGACCCCCAGCCTGTTGGGGCTGTGGCATATACGTATGAGACATACAGAGGGACACGTATAGTAAGATGGCTGTCTGATTTGTCCATGACCTGGAAATCTGACACAATTCGACCACCACACAGATCAACAAGTTCTGTCATGTGATACCTGCATCAAACATTTAAAAAATTTGAATTAGGTCCTGGAAATCTGACACAATTCGACCACCACACAGATCAACAAGTTCTGTCATGTGATACCTGCATCAAACATTTAAAAAATTTGAATTAGGTCCTGTTAAAATAAAGAGACATGATAAATTGTACTTATAGGAGATTGTGTGGTCTCTAGGTATCGTGTCCACCTCAAGTGCTAGGGTAATTCCCCTTTTCCCCTCCCTCCCTCCCCCCTTTTCCCCTCCCTCCCTCCCCCCTTTTTCCCCTCCCTCCCTCCCCCCCCCTTTTTCCCCTCCCTCCCTCCCCCCCCCCCCTGTTAAAATAAAGAGACATGATAAATTGTACTTATAGGAGATTGTGTGGTCTCTAGGTATCGTGTCCACCTCAAGTGCTAGGGTAATTCTCCTCTCCCTCCCCCCTTTTCCCTCCCCTTTTCCCTCCCCCCCTTTTTCCCCTCCCTCCCTCCCTCCCTCCCCTTTTTCCCCTCCCTCCCTCCCCTTTTTCCCCTCCCTCCCTCCCTCCCCTTTTTTCCCCTCCCTCCCTCCCTCCCCTTTTTCCCCTCCCTCCCTCCCCTCCCCTTTTTCCCCTCCCTCCCTCCCTCCCCTTTTTCCCCTCCCTCCCTCCCTCCCCTTTTTCCCCTCCCTCCCTCCTCGCCTTTTTCCCCTCCCTCCCTCCCTCGCCTTTTTCCCCTCCCTCCCTCCCTCGCCTTTTTCCCCTCCCCCCTCCCTCGCCTTTTTCCCCCTCCCCCCTCCCTCGCCTTTTTCCCCTCCCCCCCCTCCTCGCCTTTTTCCCCTCCCTCCCTCCCTCCCTAAATCCCCTCCCTCCCTCCCTCCCTCCCTCCCCTCTTTTCCCCTCCCTCCCCCCCTTTTCCTCCCTCCCTCCCCCCCTTTTCCTCCCTCCCTCCCCCCCTTTTCCTCCCTCCCTCCCCCCCCTTTTCCTCCCTCCCTCCCCCCCCTTTTCCTCCCTCCCTCCCCCCCCCTTTTCCTCCCTCCCTCCCCCCCCCCTTTTCCTCCCTCCCTCCCCCCCCCTTTTCCTCCCTCCCTCCCCCCCCCCTTTCCTCCCTCCCTCCCCCCCCCCTTTCCTCCCTCCCTCCCCCCCCCCTTTTCTCCCTCCCCCCCCCCCTTTTCTCCCTCCCTCCCCCCCCTTTTCCTCCCTCCCTCCCCCCCCCCTTTTCCTCCCTCCCTCCCCCCCCCTTTTCCTCCCTCCCTCCCCCCCCCTTTTCCTCCCTCCCTACCCCCCCCCCTTTTCCTCCCTCCCTCCCCCCCTTTTCCTCCCTCCCTCCCCCCCCCCCTTTTCCTCCCTCCCTCCCCCCCCCCTTTTCCTCCCTCCCTCCCCCCCCCCCCTTTTCCTCCCTCCCTCCTCCCCCCCCTTTTCCTCCCTCCCTCCTCCCCCCCTTTTCCTCCCTCCCTCCCCCCCCTATTTCCTCCCTCCCTCCTCCCCCCTTTTCCTCCCTCCCTCCCCCCCTTTTCCTCCCTCCCTCCCCCCCTTTTCCTCCCTCCCTCCCCCCCTTTTCCTCCCTCCCTCCCCCCCCTTTTTCCTCCCTCCCTCCCCCCCTTTTCCTCTCTCCCTCCCCCCCTTTTCCTCCCTCCCTCCCCCCCCTTTTCCTCCCTCCCTCTCCCCTTTTCCCTCCCTCTCCCCTTTTCCCTCCCTCTCCCCTTTTCCCTCCCTCTCCCCTTTTCCCTCCCTCTCCCCTCTCCCCTTTTCCCTCCCTCTCCCCTCTCCCCTTCCTCTCCCCTCTCCCCTTTTCCCTCTCCCCTTTTCCCTCTCATTCACTCCCACCCTTTCTCTTTCCTACAACCCTTCTACCCCTCCCTTTATATTACTAACCATGCATCAAACTTCCAGAGGCAGCTTTTCAAATTTAGGTGTCTGTAAATTAGAAGTGACTTGGTCTCTCTTAGCTCTTCGTCAAACTGATATGGGAAGTCAAAACCTAGACCATGAAGCTTTTGGTCGGCATCACTATCTTCTTTGGCACCAGCAAGGTTGAGATTGCCTAAAAAACCTTGGTCAATGAAAGGTGGTCTTTCCTTTGCTGTGATGATGTTGGAACAAAGATGTTGCTGCCGGTAAACTGACTCTGACAGGAGGAATCTTAGGTTGTTTAAGGGATGCGTTGATATCAATGGAAGCATTCCATCTTGATGAGGAATCTGCAAATTGCATCATTATTTTTGTAGTGAGTAAGCAAAACTGCAAAACTTAAAAAAATATTTAACATACATTTGAAAAAAAAATTATATTTTTTCAGTTCTGATGTTATTTAGTTTTAACATTTGTCTGTAAAATTTAGAGAACTACTAAAGACATGAAAAGAAAGTTAAATGCATCATTAAAAAAAAAAAAATACCTAAAGAAATTGAGGATATTAAATTAGATGATTTCTGCAAATGCAGAGATATTTTAATGTAAAACAAAGAAGACAGCCAAAAAATAATATTAGGCATATCCTGAAGAAAAGCAAAAAGAGAATCACCAAACAAGCACTTAATTATGAAACAAATAGACTAAGGAAATAAGAACGTTAAAAAGAAACTCTAAGATAAACATGGATGAGAAAGGCCAAGGATGCTAGACCAGATTCCATTCAAGATATTGAAACAATTGCATAAGATAAAACAGAATTGCAGAATAAAATGCAAACACTATGTGACACATAACAACACAAAAGGATGATGATATGACACTATATGACAAGTAAGTGAAAAAAAAAAAAACTTGTAAGACATCTTAAGAACATTAGGCAAACAATATTAGTATTATGGCACTCAAAGGATAATGTGATCACTATAATGCTCTCCATGTTGAATGTTGAATTAAGAATCAACATCATAGCACTCGGGACACTCCCATAAGCGCTCTGCCCCCATCTTCAGCAGCAAGTGAAGATTTCCAATTTCGATGGCATCGATGCTCTCCATAATATTTATTTATACCGTTTCAGAAAAACTTGAAAATGTTTTACATTCCACCTAAGAGGATTTGAACATGTGACTACAGGATCAGCTGACATGCAAAGAAGCCTCTACACTGTCATGGTTCTTACTGTTTGTTTCCTAAAAAAAAAAAAAGGCCCTACATTATTATTTCAGAAATAAAATTTGTCCAAAACGATGATCTGTTGTTTAAACCAGAAACTCAAAACATAAACCTGTCTTTTTACTTCTTTCTATGGGTGCCGATCAATACATTGTTTTTTATTTTATATATTTATCAAATATTTTTTTTTCAAGCAAATTATTTAACATTAAGAGAAAAACCAGTTTTCCTTGTTTATTTACATCCAGTTCCACCAACTATTTATCAATCATCATCATGTACCATGCTAAAAACTATAGGCTGTGATTGAAATCTATCTCATACAACCATCAAAGTATTGAATCATTCTGTATTATTGTCCTGCGTATGTCATAGGGCCATGTTATCCCAGTATTTATCTCTGTCTTCAGTTTGCTCAGTTTTCCATCAAGTTTACTAAATCTCACTGAGTTTTCAAGTTCATTTTCCTCACAAAGGTCTCAAAGAATCTTTGATATCTATGTATAATTTCTTGAATCAATTTATGATTTTCATCTGTTTCTTGAAGGGCATTTTTCTTTCAAGAAAATTTTTTTTTACTTGCCTGTAAACTACTTTTCCACTGCTATGAAACATTTCTTATCTTGTCAACTTTTTGTCCACATAAACACCATGTTCTACAGAAGGGCTCTTTTACTGGCGGCCTGTGGGCCACATCTTGACTGTGAAGGCCTAGCAAGTGGCCTGCAGATCTGGTGGTGGCTGTTAGCTTTTTGCCCCTCTGGCAACTAAAATGTGCATTTTCTGCTTTCGCATATTTCTGGATTGTTCCGGGGCTAATGGTTGTTCATCAGTTTTTCAAACACCACAGCGAGGGCCATTTTATTTGATTTGCACTAGCACAGGGAAGGAGCAAGTATGGGAAAACTCGATTGCAGTGATGTTGACACCTCAACTAAGACTGCAAATCATTGACCGTTGTATTGTATTACTGATCTTTCTATGCTGGCACTTGAGCCTCTAGCCCGCGGCTATCCCGATTTTGAATGACCCTGTTCAATAGGATAAGTTATTTAAATTGTATCTCCTGCAGTTGTGAAATACCTGAACAGAAATATGAACGGTGTTGCCGTGTTGTGCTCTGTCAGGTGGAATGTACTCCAGACTTGCCAGAAAGGACTGAGCCTGGTATGCAAAGTGATGAGAAGAGGGAAATGCTGTAGACTTGCAGATGGGACTTGTTCCAATTGTAACAGATCGAGACTTCAGTGGGATTCCTGGATGTCCATTACCTTTCAGCGGCTGGGCAATACATCGTACCTAAAGTGAACAGCAGAGTAATATTACAATGTATATATGTAAGTTGTACCTCACCAGGACATCACACAGAGCGATAAACACCCTGAGACACAAAGTGTCACCATGCACATGTGGATCACCCGTGGGGAGGTCCCGGAAACCCTGTTCAGCCGTTAGGCCATAATTTATGTCCGGATATATTTAGGACTTCCGGCAAAACCCAGGGTGGGGCTTCAAAATAACTAAAAATTACATCTCACAAGGGGATGACGAGATATGACAATTAATAATATCACAATAAGAAGCTGAGAAATGTTTACCATCTATATAAAAAACCATTGAACATAAAGGGTTTATTTGTAATGAAAAAGAAAAAACAGGGACAATATAATTTCATGTATTACAGAATGATACTGTTTTAAATTAAACCTTCTGCCCCAGAGACCATATGTAGAAAATAGTCCCCTTTCCTCCCACCCCCCACCCAAAAAAAATCACTAACTTAGGCTAGTCGCTAGTACATTTGTAAAAGAATTATTTAAAGGGGAGTAATTAGGTTACTGCAGTTTTAACTTCATAGCAAATGGGTTACCTCACAGTTGCACTATTCCTAACAAAACCCACACAGTGTCCATCACTGTTCCTTGTGAAAAAAAAATGTACACAGCCTGCAGTCTTAGCAAATCCAACAGCATACACATGCATTAAATGCACAAGGCAGCAGTCAGAAATGCCACCACAAACATTCCGAGACTGGAAATGCAGTTGATTATCAGTTAGCACATACAAATAACCATTACTTCTTTGGCAACAGCTCACCATTTTCTGAATCTGCAGTTCACAACTCTAACCATGTAAGTTTAAAAAAAGCATTCCAAATGAAATCTGCAGCTCACAGTGTCGCACAATGCACTCAACTCAGTAGCTGTGCAATGGAACAATATTTTTCCAGTCTAAATATGGAGGAAAATACTGTGTTAATATTTTCACAAGTGATAGTGGTGAACTTTCTGTGGGGTTTTCACTGGCACAGGAACCAAGCCACTAAAAGTTGACGCATTTATTACAAAGTTGGAACTGCGATTACCTGAATAAATTCTTTAAAAATGCAAATGTCAAGCTACAATACCTGAAAGTATGGTCTGAAATAGACACTGTCTAAGACTTTCTTATCCACCGAGGTGAAGAGTGTCCCATCTGTAACCCGGACAAACAGTGAACTAACAGTGTCATCATTCTGAGGCATGGCCATCTCCCATTGGTAGGTTATCGAGGTTTGATTAATACCACCATCTTCACATAAACTGGCAGTGGCTGGGTAATCTGGGTACTGGACATCACATGGCTGGGAGGGTAGAAAAGATATCAGTTTGTATTAGATAAGAGGGTATATATGTGTGTGTGTGTGTGTACGCATGTGTGCGTTTATTAAAATTAAAGAATATACATCGCCTTTATTTTAATACAGATAGGCATCTGAAAGAACTGGTATAAATGATTATAATCGTGTGTGTGTGTGTGTGTGTGTGTGTGTGCGTGCGTTTTGCATGCACATGTGTGCAAGTGAGCCTGGGTGCATGTGTGTATGCATGTGTGTTTATTAAAATTAAAGAATATGCATCCCCTTTATTTTAATACAGATAGGCATCTGAAAGAACAGTGGTATAAATTATTCAAAACTAAAATTAATACAGTGTGTTTAAAGTACATCCAACAATAAACTACTTACAGTCACACAAACAAGTGGGTAGCCAGGGGATGGATTCGTGTTCAAACCTTGCTCAGAGTTTCCGAAATGAAGCAGAGAAATGACCTAAAGAAAAGAAATTGCAATATATATTTTGTATTATGTGTGATGTATACAGTTCCATAGTAAACATATTAAAGTTGGAATTAAAGAATATTGCTATCATAATAAAGATTTCCCTGTGTGGGTGCCGGGACTCTTTTATAGGGAAAGCAAGAATAGACCCACTGCCTACCCAAAAGCATATCGTAAGAGTTGACTAACTGGGAGCTTCCTTCGAAGTCAGAGTGCATCTGCCTGAAAAGCAAGGAACCAGCTATCTGCAAACAAATGAGTCAGATGCAACACTCAGGTTCTGGAACAGGACTACAGTCCAAAAGTGGATGAACAACCAGAACTTTCTGCCAGAGTTCACAGCTGGTGAACACGATGAAGAAGAAAAAAAAATTAAGATTCATCAAATTTATATATATTCACTATTATTATGTAGTAAGCTCTTGAAGAATATTACTCTCTTGATGTTATTCTCCCACTTGCTCACATTCCTTCCACATGCCCTACAGTATGATTTATATAAGAGCACTGTGTTAACCCTTTGGTGCAGAGAAGCCGAATAACCTACACTTCCCGTTAGGTCCAGTTCCCCGTAAATATCACTTTTTCGAATTGTTAAAGTGATCTTTTCAAAAGATACATAGTTAAAGTTATTAGCTGATTTCATTTACTTTAGTAAACATTTGTAAAGTCAGGGTGTGAATATATTAAGTAACAATACCATTAACAGGGGTTTTCCTTTGAGAGGAATTGCTTTTTTAAAACCAAGCTGACGTGTTTTGTAAACTTCAGAGATAGAGGTCATGGTGTCACGGGAATAGTCACCCAAGACAAGAGTGTTTTATAGGCCCCGGGGATGTATTCCATTTAATACTTTACCTTGTTTATGTTTATTGATTACTCTTTTCATATATCTTTATATATTTTGACAAATTATTTTAAAATGTAGATAAATAAATTGTTAATGAATTTATTGGTGACCTGTGTAAAAATTGTTGTAGTTTTTGCAGATGTTTTAAAAAAAAATATTCTAATAGGGTAATGACCAAGTGTTTTTAATGTCCCAGGCCAACAGGATTAATAGTGAGAAAGAGTTTACGTGTCTGCCTTTTTAAAATTGTCTAAAATAAACTCTCTTTTTAGTCCCAGTCTCTCCAAAACCTCTTGGTCACATTTTTTCTCTTTTTATCAAATATGACCTATTCTTCTGTATACCCACATCTTCAGTGGATGTTCCCATCATCATCATCCCCATGCCTCTTGCCAGTAAGCATAAGCAGTCATGTTTCAAGATTTCACACGACCACCATACTGATCAGGTCAGTTGTTGTGACTTACCCCATTAGCCCCTGCTCCTCTATTCCTGTACTACGCTTTCCACTTCTATTCTTTTCAATCTACAGTGGCTCTTGATATAGACCAAATATTTCATTTTCTGAGACAAGATGCTGTTTACAAACCAGTCTTCCTTGATGTTCAGATCTTTCAAGATGTCAGTATTTCTCTTCTTCTTTGTCCAAGATATTCTGAGAATCTTTCTATAGCATTTCAGCTCAAAAGCCCCTATTCTCTTTCTTAGGGACTGGGAGATAGTCCATGATTCACATCCGTATGTTGCTACAGGGAAGATGCATGCTCTCAAAATTGTTATTTTGACCTCCTTGCTGGTGCTTAACCAAAGACTTTCAAGGCTGTTTAATCTTTGCATTGCTATGGCCATCCTTCTTTATAGGGAATCCTATACAAAGTCTAAAAATTGACGTTAATGTGGATTTGAACAAAAACTTTCAGTATTTACTGTATATAAATCAAATCAGGTCTCACCATTGGAGCAGCAGGTAGCACTAAGCTTCCAGAGACCTCGTTGTCAAGGACTGTGATAGTCGCCTCAGTAATGGAGCCAAAAACAGAGCCTGTGGGCTCTTCTGGACCCAGCTGGATCTTAAAAGACTGATGCCACTCTACATCAGTGTTGTAGAGAATATCCACAGAAAAATCTATTTTCCTGACACCTTCATGAGGAAAATTAACAGAAACAAAATACGCTATTATTTTATAGGAATCAATATAATCACGAACCATGGTATACAAGTTGAGTTGAGTTAATAATTGATATCACAGCACTCAGGGTATTCCTGTGTGTGCTCCATCCTCATCTTAAGCAGCCAGTGCAGAGTTCCAATACTGATAGTAGCGGTCACAATCTGGTTATATGTCCGTCTTGCCTTTCCTCTGAGTGTAGTGAGCCAGGCACAAATGTAGGTAAAGTTACTTACACAAATAATGTTGTGGATTTTGACAAAAAATGAGAATTGTTCTCTAAGCAGTGGTGAAACATTTGCATGCTAGCTTGGTTTGGGCACCTGATGAGAGATGATTCAATTGCAAAGACTGTGCCTCAAGGAACATTGGAGGGTAGCTGAAAAAGAGGAGGGCAAAGAAGAAACTGGAATGACAACATCAAGAAACGGACAAGATTATCATACACTTATTAATCAAGTAGAAGACAGAACGATGGCGGGTTTTATGTGCTAGTGCTTCCATCAATACACCTCTACGACCCTAATGGGTCAAGGGTTTTGTTATGTAATGTATAAGAATAGTTTAACTAGGTACTGACGTAACCATCCAGCTTTCATGGATAAGTATGAAACACTACAAGATCTGATGTGAAAGTTCACAGTTCCTCTAAAAGGTGGAAATCTAAAACAGGATATTACTTTTACCTTTAACTGTGGTTCTGACTTTGACTTAGCTTCTTCAAATCGGCAGTAAATAATTTTCTGGATTGACTGAGAAGGAAAAGTAGGTAGGAAGGAAACTGACAATCCTTCCTCATAATCATATAGCATAGCATTTATGGCTATCCTCCGACGAACGGCCGGCAAAGATGGCGGCCGCAAAATATCCTTTCGAGCCACAGTCGCGTGTTGTTGTTATCGATCCAGCGGCGCATGAGCTTTCGCCCTTTGGCCCAATGTCATGTAGTGGAATTTGCATGTTTTCACAAGCTGATCTTTTCCTCCGTACAAGGTGTTTCACCTGTCTGGTCTCGGAGGGACTAGCATTCTTCTAGTCTCGCTGAGTTTTGGGCACTCAAAGAGATGGTGTTCAACAGTTTCGTAGGGGTAGTTACATAGCTGGCACTCTGGGGAGTGTTGTGGCTGTATTCTGTTTAGGTGTCCATTGAGTGGAGTATGTTGTGTTCTAAGTCTGAAGATGGTGGCCTGATCCCTTCTTGTTAGATGGTTAATGCTGTCATTATGATCAGGGCCAGACATATGTCTATAAACCTCTCTTCCAGTGTCTCCCATGGCCCATCTGTTCAACCAAGTCTCTTTGTTTATAGCTCTTATCAGTGTTTTTGCTGTCTGGAGGGTTGTCGCTGTAGGTGGTTGTTCTTGTGTTGCTCCTTTCTTTGCCAATCTGTCAGCTCTGTCATTACCTGGTGTGCCGGAGTGACCTGGAATCCACTGCATCACTATTCTGATGTTGTATGAGGTAATAAGCTGATCAGTATCCAGGATTATCTTGGCTATGTCAGTTCTGCAGCGTTCACTGCCCTCCAGAGCTTGAAGGGCAGACATTGAATCTGTGAAGATTACAATATTTTGGACCTTTGAGGGGTAAACATCCATTACAGTCTTTAGGTTGTATACTGCTGTTTCCAGTGCAATTATTTCAGCTTCATAATTTGAACAGAATTCCCTGCATGCATCAAAAATCTCTTCAACAGATCCACCGGGATAACCTATGTAGATTCCGTAACCTGCTTTAATGTTAGCTTTAAATGCTGATCCATCAGTATAGACATGTATCCATTCTTGGGGGTAAGAATCAACGGTCTTTAGTGATGAGTTCATAAGAGCGATTGGGTCAGACTGTTTGGTTTCCTCGCCTACCAATTTAATTTGGACTTCTGGAGCTTTAAAGCGAGCATGTGGTGGTAGGTTTCTTGCAACATTCTGAATTCCTTGACGTCTTTCTGGGAGGTGGTATCTGTCCTGAATTTCATTAACACAGTGTAAAACCGATTTGTGCTTTATTCTTTGTTTGTATTCCCAGTTTTCTACAAGATGTCTATTAGGATGGTTACGATTTTTCCTAACGCATTTTCCATAAATTTCTAAAGTGGCTTTTACTCTCCGCAACCCGAGGGGTTCCACATTTGTATGGATTTCACATGCAGCAGTTGGTGTAGACTGCATAGCTCCGCAGATTAATCGGAGGGCATTATTTTTTTGTACTCTGTCAAAAGTCTCTAGGTTAGTTTTGGAGCAAGTTGTAAGCAATGAGTTGGTGTACTCTATCACAGAGCGAACATATCCTAGATATAAGCCTCTCAGAGTTTCCTTGTCTGATCCCCATGATGTACCTGCAAGTCTCTTTAATAACTTAACCGCCTCAATGCCTTATTCCTGACGTTTTCAATATGGTTCTTGAGGCTGAGCTGCCGGTCAAGTGTGACTCCAAGGTATGTGGGATGCTCTTCTTTCATCACTTGGTGTTTGTCTAACCTCAGGTTAATATTTTTCCTTGCTACTTGGTGGCTTTTGGTAAAGATTGTGTAGACCGTCTTTGCACAGTTAACCTTGAGTTTCCATCTTTGGCAGTACTCATGCAGTCTTCTAAGGTCTCCATTCAGTCTTTGGGCTCCATTTTCTACATTTTCATGACTCTGCCATATTGCTAGGTCATCAGCGTACAAGGCTTTTTAGGCCTTGATTTGTTCTTGCAGGTCATTGATAAAGATTAGGAACAGTGTACAGCTCAATGATGAGCCTTGTGGCAAGCCCTCCTCCAAGACTTCTTTAAAAGAGATTGTGTTGTGCATCTTAGTCTGTATTGTTCTATCTATCAGGAAGTATTTCACCCAGTTATACAATCTGCCATGTATTCCTATGCTCATCATCTTCATCAGGAGACCGTGTCAATTGCGCACTAGCGGTCACGAGCACACCGCGGCTGCTGCTCGTGGGTCCTAGCCATCTAGTTTAGCCCCATTCCACGCTGCTCACGCGGCATGGGAGACATGTGGCGGTATGATATTTGCCGGAAAACAAACATAAACTGTTGCAGCATTAGAGAAAACAATAGGAAAAAACTGCTGGCATTATGCTGTTGTTGTTGAATTAAGAATTGACATCACAGCACTCTGGACACTCCCATAAGTGCTCAGTGCTGGCATTATGCTGAAGTCACCTAAGTGCTAAAAACTGTGTCAAGACAATCTAATTTTACCACCAAGTTTTCTAAAGAACGATGTGGTTGAATGAAATGTAATACTTTTTTGTGTGTGACCTATTTGGAATAGGAATTACACATATACCCTTGACTGATTGTAAAGTAACAAGTAAAAACCCTGAAAATGTGACAAGTGAAAATCATCAAAACTGCACTTAGTGACATGGTCATGATATTTCCTGGTATCGTATGGTGAAACAATAAAATACAAATTTATAAGTTTGTTTTGTTTCTTTGCAGGATCTGAACAAACATTTTTGTTTCTGTCAAAAATCAATTAACTATGTAAATTTTCTGGGCTGGAATAAACACAATATGAGCCCTATGTGATGTATAAACAGTTAAGGAGAATGATGATGATGATGATAATATTGTACATGATTGTCACTCTGATATGTGACAAACCTGGTTCAAATTTCAGCACAAGTGACTTTGGGTTGTAATCAGATCCAGATTGTGCAGATCCATCTCTGGTGCTACACCTCACACTGGATGTCTCATTGACAGAGCCTGCACGAATGACCTTCACTCTCACTGCTGCTGTCTGATCTACCCCACCAGGCTCATGTACACTGTAGGCTGACTGCTCAAACTGGATTGTGGGAACTGTTAACAAAAATTATATTTTGCACTATATGAAGTTGAACAAAATGTTTTATGAACATTTACAATTCTTATCGTGCTTTGTTTGGGTTCATGTGGGTAAAAATTCAACATCACAGAATTCATGACAAGTCCACATTATATTGTATTGTCAGTCTGTTCATAGAAAAAAACTGAGTTGAAGTTTCTTAACCCTTTCCCCTCAAGGCACTGAGTATTTATATTGTGCCATCTATTTTACATAATTGAGAAAGCCATTTCCAGAATTTAGGCTTTTGGACAGTTTCTGACGAGCCTTGCTGATGGCATTGGCTAATTTTATGCCTGCATAGTATTTAGGTAGCCCAAATATGATTATATATATAGCAATGGGATGGGGGGGGGGGGGAAGTGGGAATTATTGTGAAAAAATTGCTATTTAAAGTAATTATATCATAATTCACCTTTAGCAGTCATATAGCAACGAGATCATAGTGTGAGTCATATGTCATAATTCACCTTTAGCAGTCATATAGCAATGAGATCATAGTATAAGTCAAAAAATGTCATAATTCACTTTTAGCAGTCATATAGAAACTAGGTCATAGTATGAATGATATGTCATAATTCACCTTTAGCAGTCATACAGCAACAGGTCATAGTATGAGTCATATGTCATAATTCACCTTTACCAGTCATTCAGCAACAGGTCATAGTATGAGTCATATGTCATAATTCACCTTTACCAGTCATACAGCAACAGGTCATAGTATGAGTCATATGTCATAATTCACCTTTACCAGTCATACAGCAACAGGTCATAGTATGAGTCATATGTCATAATTCACCTTTACCAGTCATACAGCAACAGGTCATAGTATGAGTCATATGTCATAATTCACCTTTACCAGTCATACAGCAACAGGTCATAGTATGAGTCATATGTCATAATTCACCTTTACCAGACATACAGCAACAGGTCATAGTATGAGTCATATGTCATAATTCACCTTTACCAGACATACAGCAACAGGTCATAGTATGAGTCATATGTCATAATTCACCTTTACCAGTCATACAGCAACAGGTCATAGTATGAGTCATATGTCATAATTCACCTTTACCAGTCATACAGCAACAGGTCATAGTATGAGTCATATGTCATAATTCACCTTTACCAGTCATACAGCAACAGGTCATAGTATGAGTCATATGTCATAATTCACCTTTACCAGTCATACAGCAACAGGTCATAGTATGAGTCATATGTCATAATTCACCTTTACCAGTCATACAGCAACAGGTCATAGTATGAGTCACCCATAAAATGATCTTTCTGGGAATCAGCATCATGTGTAATTAAATCAAGAAGAAACAAAAGGTCACACATTTACTGTCCAGCAGATTTGCTGGATCTCACCAGCAGCAGAGTCACTGGTCTGATTTTTCTCAAACTTGAATTGCCTGATTTAAAAATACAGTACAGCCTTGATTATTTGGCTCAGGATTATTTATTTTCCATATTATCTGACCAGTTTTTTTTTTTTTTTAAACAAATTTCTGTAATGTAAAATAAGGAATAATTTACTTTACCTTTATATAAAAGAATAATTTATAAAGTACTGCCTTTGCTAGAAGATCAGAAAATAAGAATAAGAAGAGGTTTTGGTATATAAAGGGTGTTTTTAATGATATGTGTGGGGTAGCTAGCCAGTTAGTCCACAGATTATCCTCATTGCACAGCAAACCATTTAGTTCATAAGCGCTCAGATCCCCTCCTTAGTAAGCTTTCTCCATAGCTCACCTGCCTTCCATAATAGCTTTACCTGCAAGTCTATCAGCTTGCTCATTTGCTTGCACGCCTGCATATACTGGTACAAATATGAAACTGATGTGTGTCAGCCCTGACCACTTTAGAGACTCCACCCAATGCCTTCAGACCCATCCCATGTCTATCTTCCTGAGTATACTCATCCTGTCACTGAGAAAGTATGCACAGAAAAGGTCTGTGTCTCCAGCCATGTTATTGCTTTGGTCACTGCCATGACCTCCATCCATAGTCAGACTACTTGTGGTCAAGGCAACAGCACCAGAACCTTGCTTCACAATTTAAACTCCAACCTGGATGGGTGGGGTAGAAACTGAACATTTTAAAAACTCCGCATATCCATCATTTTTGTTATCCAGCATACTCTTTAGCCACTTTAGGCTGGCTATTGCAGTCTACAACAATTATTCCTTTAAAAAAACTTACCATCATCAAAGTTAGTAATTGTCACAACTGCAGTGCTCTGTTGTCCAAGTGTTGCAATGATTCCATTACTAGCCATTGGTGACCCAAGTTTTAACCGGAAAATCTCATCTTGTTCAAACTCTTCATCATCCACAATGTGGACTACACAGGACTTGCTCTGTGTTTGTAACATTTCAAGTTAGTTATCTGCTTATTTGGTTTTGCAAGACAATGTCAGCTATATAACACTCTAGAACTGAAATACTGACAGAGCTAATGAAAACATACCATTTGAATATAAATGGTGCTACACAAAGCTTACAATTGTAATGGTCGCTTAAAATGCTCTCCCATAACTGTATCTGAAGTTTTGTGAACTAATGGCTAAAATTATTTGCTAGCAAATCCTAGTGCCACTGAGTTTTCATGAGGAAAAATTAGTAAAACCAATTGCCATTACTGCCTCATTTATAACTGTTGTAGTGTAGGTTGGGGGGGGGGGGGGGTCTTTCAACCTGAGGATTTAGGCCCACATGAGCTAGTGCAGTCACCATGGACTGTGCAGGTTATGATTTTATTTTTGCACCCAGCAGGAAACAAATAATACCCTCACTGAGGTTTCTTCTTCTTTGTTGACTGGCTATAAGCTCAGGCAGAAAGTCCTGGTTGTTCATCCTTCTGGACTTAGGCTTTGTACCGGGGGCCTGAGTTTTGGGCATACATTTGGTTTACTTACTTATTTGTGTGCAGTTGGTTGTTCCTTGCTGCTAGGGCAGATGCACTCTGACTTCAAGGCAAGTCCCTAATTAGTCGACTCCTATGACAGGCTTCCTGGGGAGGCAGTGGGTCTATTCTTGTTGTCCCCATGATAGGGCCCCGGAACCCACACAAGAACTGAGGATTCAAATCAGGTCTCCTGCATGGGAAGTGATAACGTAACCAGGGGTGACTGCAGTCAAGTTGATTGCCAAGAAATGCTAAATATAACAAAATATGACTAGAAAGCTCAACCGAGGGAATGGAAAAGATACACACACAAAACGACCCAACATTTTGACGAATGTCTTTATCAACAGAATACCAAATACAGCGCAAACCGTGACTAGAAAACTCAACAGGCAAGACAACAGGGATAATGTGGCTTAAAGCTTTTCACATCAGAGGTTAGCCACTGCTCTCTGATGCCCATAATGTTTTTGAAATCATTGCAAATCAGTCTGCTATCAAATCACCTGCAGCTGGCTTCAAACTCTGGACAGCGAAAAGGCATTCAGACTCTAGGCCAGAAACCTTCAGGTTTAAAAATAAAATGTTGATAGAAGTAACATTTCCGGAATTCTCTAAAACTCAGGGTAACTCAAAAGAATTTCCTACCTTTTCTCCATGCTTAAATACAATTCTTGAGTCATTGGTAAATGGCCTTTCTTCAAAGTCTTTGGCCACTTCTGCAGTGAGCTGTTGTGTGTAGCAAATGACAGACGATTCCAAGGTAACATCTCCAGATTTCAAGATGGTGGCATTGACAGTTTTATTTTTCTCATCAACCACAAAGCTGTCTTGTGAAAATGTTATCTGTGGGACTGAACAAATTTAGCTTCTGAAACATTTTTTGGTAAAGAAGTAAAAGGCTCTATACACTGTGATAAGCTTATTCTGCTAGCCCTTGCATGGGGGCTGAGTGGTGTCCGCCTTGAGTGCTGGAGGTCCCAGGTTCAGGCCCTGGAGACAGCTGAAATTTTTTCACGTGGACTTCTAGTAATTTTCCCTGGTCTCTGAGTAGTAAAATCGGACACCTGGGTGTATGAGTAAAATTATATGCCCATTGTGCCACTGGCGAGAAAAAAGCCCTTTTAAAAAAAATCAGTAGCAGCGTAATTTTCATTGATGGATAAATATGACAGACATATCCATAAACATAGTGGTTTTTTTTGGGGGGGGGGGAGGGGGGGGGGGGTCATTACTTCTATTTAAAATAAAAACAGACTTTCAAGAAACAAAATATTTTAGCTGATTACAATTTGGGAAACAATAGAATGACTTACTGTCCAGGTTGTCATCATAGATGGTAACAACAGCATAATGTGGTTGGTCAAGAATACTCCCCACAGCAGAACTTAAGAATACAACAAATGTTTCATTTCCTTCCAGTTTTGGTTCAAGGTCATCATCCAGCAAAACCACACGACAAATCTGTGAAAACACAAATCTATTACTAATCCTTTCATCATTTAAAGTGGTTAAAAAACTGTCCAAAGTTCACTTTAAATAATTCAAGTAACTGAGACTGTAAGACCAATGTAAGTAAAATATATTGTTGGCAGCTTTCTGTCTTTCCAGAAGTTAGTGTTATGCTATGGGAGTCACAGAATCATAGCCCATGTTAAAATTAAGACCAGGGAGGAAGCTCTTTCTCTCTCTAGCAAAAACGAAGATCAGCTTATACAATACATTGGAAAGAACACACAGAAAATCTTCTCCCAACACTTCGATTAAGTGGGTGCCCTAATGGAACACTGATATGTAACACAAGACTGTTAATGTCTCTTAGCCTTTGTTCCACCTTTTACTGATGGAATCTGTTCTACCCAGGTTTGGGTTTCAACCCCCCACCCCCCACCCCACCCCCCCCCCCCACCCCCAGCCAGAAACAGGATTGGACAACAAATGAGGTAAAGGCAATATTGGTTCCAATTTAGTATTAGTATATTATGCCTTATACAGTAATGCATGTGCACCTGCTGGTTTGTCGTGACTGCTGCTCCTATCACATAATAACTGCAATTCTAGAAACAGACTGGTGGTGACACTTTTGGAGATTGCCATATGGATTTAATACTTTTGCAAGCTGTTGGATTCTGCCAGGACCGTTGTCTTTTTTCATAAGGAACAGTGACGAACATTCTGTGTGATTTTTTGTGGCACTGAAGTGTAACAACAATTGGGGGTGGGGGGGGGGGGGGGGGGGGGGGGGGGGAAGGGAGGACTCGTTTTTATGGAACTTTGATTACCTGATTACAGATGAAAATGTGGCTAATGCTGAACATTCTAAACTGGTAGTGGAAAAACTTACATTTGAGCTTTGTCCAGGGCCAAAAGTCAACTTGGTGGAGCTAGGTACGTAGTCTTGGTCAGGGGTCGCAGACACTGGGCTTGACATTTTTGTTGCACACCAAACCACGGTGGGATGAGACAAGTCAGAGCCCACTCTCAAAACCTCAAGCTCAACAGTTCCGCTGTTTTCAGGGAATGCAAAGGTATCATGTGCCAGATACACATGTGAAACTGCAGTGAGAGAAACATATTTAAATATATTTATTCACACAGATACACAGTGCAAGCCAAGTTATGAGACAACTGTTATCTTCTTCTTCTTTGCGGTCACCAGCTGTAAACTCTGGCGGAAAGTTATGGTTGTTCATCCACTTCTGGACTGCAGTCCTGTTCCAAAACCTGAGTGTTACGTGTGCATCCGTTTTATAGATCTGACTCATTTGTGTGCAGACTGCTGGCTCCTTGCCTCTCAGGCAGATGCACTCCGGCTCCCAATTAGTCGACTCTTACGACATGCTTTTGGGTAGGCAGTGGGTCTATTCTTGTTTTCTCTATAATAGGGCCCCGGAACCACTGTTATAAAACAACGCTAATTTTTTTTTATATGGACATTTCTTTAGAAAAAAAATAAAGCCACATGTATCCCTGGATGCACTGGCGTATGCACACACACATATATACGTAATAATAGATTTTCATTAAGGATTCATGATAGTTAGTATAGTGTCCAGCGCACATGCTTGTTGGCCCAGTTATTTGAGTCTTCGTTGAGGATTATATCAAAACTGACCTAAGTTGTCGGTCAATCGAGCCTAAAATGGAATTTTTTTGTGAGCAATAAAGATGGATCATGCGATTCTGACCTTACAAAGAATCAAATACATTGAAGCTTCAAGAGAACTCAGTGAGACAAATTCTACAGTAAAAAAATAAAGAAATCCCACATCCCTTATCAGTACAAACGGAGCCAGACTTTTTTCAAAAATGACCTTGGCTTCCAGGTCAACCCAGCCTTGAGTGGGTACCGGGTGCAGTCCCGGGAAGTAAAGGTGGCTGGCATGATGATGACCACATCACCCATTTTGTGCCGATTGGTCTATAAAATATAGGTCCATCTCCATATGCCCTATACGCCTGAAGGCATAGAAAAGGGTCCTTTACTCTTATCAGTACAAATTAACTCACCAAGTGTTTATTGGTAAATCCATGTAGCATAAGTTTCTATTTTCCAATGCCTTATACAGTTAAATCATTCCACTCAACTGTAAATGTTAGGGTTCCAGACAATGTTTGACCTTGAGGGGGAAACATTTGCAGATTTTTAGCCTGGTGGCACTTGGCACTATTAGCATGGAAACTCTTCACTGGCTACTGAGGAAGGAGACAGAGTACATGTGAGAATGTCCTGAGTGCAGTGATGATCATTCTTGATTCATTTTTTTATCCTGTTTCACTAGCTCTTTCTGCAAAAGAGTCATAGACTCAGCATTTGTTTGTTTCAGCCAGGGTTCTTCAACTGGCTGTCCACAGACCCAACTCTAGCCCGCGGAGGCCTAGCAAGTTGTCTGTGGATCACAGAAAGTTGAATTGTATTAATGAGATGTCTATGCTGTAGCTCAGGCCTCTGGCCCATGATGGTCCCCATTTTCAGAATCTTGGCTCCAGAGAAAGCTTACTGATAGCCCTGGTTTAGAGTAAGGTCAATTTTATGTAGGAAAAAATGTAATGCCTCTTTGATGCTAAAAGAGTTAATAGTTAATCATATGCATGACATTAGCAGCTGTCACCTTACCATCATTTGGTCCATCTATTATCACCAGGAGAGTGGTGAGAGCACCAAGTGCTGCCGGAATGGAAGGGTCCGATAACTGCAGCTCAAACTGCTCAGTACTTTCATACATACTGTCATCAATTAACTGCAGATAATGAGCAATTCAGGTTTATAGAACAATTCAATTCACAATATCCCTACAAATTTTATTTGATTGATTATTTTAAACAAGTATAATTAACATAAATTTACATCACCAAAGCTCATAAATGATGAATCTTAAATTCTGAGCTGCTAAAGCTTATTTTTAATTACTGAAGTGGTATGACAGACATATTAAATGAAATCATTATGAGAGTGGAGCAGGGGAAGCTCTGAGGTGTGACATTCACTTTTCTCTTAATAAGCCCCTGGTATAATCCCAACATGGCTTGAGTGGACTTCTACAAAATCAGACAAAAAAGAACTCATTCCTGGTACTGGGGTAAAAGATCACACACATAACCTTCTCGGTGAAAGAAAAACTAGGAGAAAATTAAGACAGTGATTAAATCTTTGAGTCCCAGGGGGTTTAGCATCAGAGGTCTAAGGGGTGGTAATACAATTTAGAAATTTCACAAGTGTTACACATTAAAACAGATCATGCTAATTCTACTGCCGTGCAACTTACACATATTATACATCAAAGTGACCAAGGATTGTTGGGAATAATATTAGAATACTGCTTTAAAAATAAGTTTTGTTAGCAGTTAATTATTAGTGAATAAACAGATGGTATGTTTAGAGAAATTAGAAAAAAAAATGTCCACTTGCCATCTTGGCATTCAATTAAAATTCGATAAAATATATCAAAAATGAATCATAAAAAAACATAAACCACTCAGTAAATCAAATATTAACACAATCTGTCCATTAGATCTCGTTCCAGAGAAACTTTTAGAGCATCATAACAGAGCACCTATTTTGGTAAAGAAAAATGACTTCCAAAAACAATTAGTATTTTCACAAAACATGAACTTTATATAACACTCAATTTGTAATTAATTTTATAATAGCCTATGTTGCTAAATAATAAGGGAATAGCACTAGACCTAACTGACACTGAAGAATATTGATTTTTGTCACTCATATTTACTCTCTTTGTACTAGCTGACTTATAATTGTAGGCTTTGTGTGAGGTATATATTAGAGCTATCCCTCATTAAAGTTTGACACTCTCAATGATTGAAACAAGTCTACTCCACAGCTTTCTTTGTCTAGCTTCGAAAAAATCTGATGAAAAAATATTTTATATAAATATGAGGCTTCTAAAGTCATAAATCTTGTTGGCATGCAGGAAGAAGTCTACTCAGAGGCCATATTGTTTTCACACAGACCCTTAGTAACTCGGTAAAGCTAACAAACATGCTACATTTTATTCCTTTAACCGGGTTTTTGAATATCCGAAATGGTCACCACGTGTTACAGCAAACACAAAGAATGGGAAATACTATTCACAACTACAGGTTTCCGCTGTTATACTGGCCAGTTGTAAATTAAAAACCTCTATTCGTCACACGTCGACTGGGTCACTAGGTTGTAACCGATTAGCATGTGATGTGTTCCTTGGGACTCAAAGAGTTAAGCAGGAAGTGTACAAAGGGTATAGATGACATGCAAAATGCATAGCAAACAAACACAAACATTTTGCAAATGGCACCATCAGTATGCGAACTATTGCCTAAATAGCAAGAGGACAGAGCATGTTTGGGAATATCCCAAGTGCAGTGATATCAATGATTGATTTATTTTTATTCTTCCACATATACATTTTTCCAAGTACTCATTTTCAGTTACTACTGGTTTCCAAAGTCTTTTTGTTTTGTGTGAGTTCTATGCTAATGAGACACAATTGAATGTTAATAGCTGTGTTTTAAAGAAGTCGTTGTGACGTTTTCAATCTAGAAAAGACCTTGATGTTTCTACATTCATTTAATGAAGCAATCATAAAATTGGCATAAAAGATGTAAAATACTGCAAGAGAAGTATAAAACTTTCAGATTTTGTACCATATTTTAGAAACATGAATTTGTACCTTCACGCTACAGTTGGTATGAGTGACACCTGGAGGAAAGATAACTCTGTAAGCACTGGAATAGCCTCTAGAGATGAAGTCGGAGCCAGACTCTAGACTAGTCAAGCTGCTGCCAGTGGCAGTCAGAGATCTGCTTGAACAGATGACTGACACTGAGTCACTGACATCTCCAGATCGAACTACTGTTGCTACAGCATGACCGTCTGATTCGTTGACTTGCACCATCTCTGATGTGAACTGCAATGTGGGTTCTGAATAAGATATAATCACAATGTCTTACAAGAAATAATCTTTATCAGGTAACACAGTTTCACTTACATCTTTATAGATTTTTTATTTTACGTTTTAACTGTCATTAGGTGCATGTTTTCCCAAGTGAAACAAAAGTCACATGATTCCACTTAATATTATACGATCAAATAAATGAAAAACTAATGTCCTATAACTTCCATTACATCAGAAGGAGACAGTCATAATTTTTTGGCCATGTTATGAGAAGAAGGAAAATGGAACATGTTGTGACCACTGGAAAGATCTATGTAAGGAGGGATAGAGGAAGACGAGAGAAGATTCTTAAGTCTTGTTGCATGGCATGGAGGTGTGTCAGCACACGAACTGATACATGCTGCAGGAGATCGCAGATTGTGGAGAGGCATGATCGTCCATGCCAGTCGGCATGGCACCTGATGATGATGATAAATTCTTGTCTAGTCAAAAACTAAATAGACCTCATCATAATAGAAAAAGATAATGCCATGTAAATTAACAGGTTAAAAAAATTAACAGCAATATTATTGAATGTTTATTTGTTTCTGTTGGCGCCTCTGGCTTAGGGGTTAAAATTATGGTTCATAATCCCAACATACCTGATTTGATTTAACTGCAGGTTATTTGGCAGCAGACTACTTTATGGTGATTTCAAAAATAATATCAAGAGCCAACTGTTCTAAAAGAAATAGCAAACTACTGAAGGTAAAAATGCTGAGTAAAACCACAAACAGGCAACAAATTCTGGGACTGGTTTGTGTTGTCCTGTAAAGGATATGCAGCTAACTTGACTACATTAATCACTGTGTGCCAGTTGGTCTATACACTATATTTCTAGCATAATATGCCGAAAAATGACTGAAGGTGTAGACAAAGGTCCTTTGCTTTACTGTATAAACAATTTAGCTACCATTGCAGTGAAAACAAGCAGCAGATAACATAGGGGATAGGACTTCAGTTTCACAAAACAGGTGACCCACATACAATTGGGTACTTCTAATCTTCAGTAAAGGAAACACTTTGTCATCTGCAGGTGAAATGTAGAACTACAAAACTTGCTTATTCCTTGGGACAATTAGAGTCGCTGAGACAAAATGATCAAGCTATTTGCATCATACTCTGAGGGTCATGGGTTCATTTCAGGGCTCCATCATTTAGTTCACAATTGCAGTTTTTACAAAGATCCCTAGGGATCCTCACTTAAGCTATGGAGTTCATGCTTTGTGTGTCAATCTCAGCAGGTAGCTGGTCATTCTGCAGAGAGAGAGAGATCAAGCCACATGGAATAACCCCAGTGCAATGAAGCAGATCGTTCCACCTTTAACCTTTATTCTGTAACCTTAAATCTTTACTTGCCAATATCTAGCGCAAGCAGTGCTTGTCAACCTCTATCTTTATCAAAGCAATTACAAGACCTTTTAAAATCTCAGCAAGTAGCTGGTCATTCTGCAGACAGAGAGATCAAGCCACATGGGATAACCCCAGTGCAATAAAGCAGATCGTTCCACCTTTAACATTTTTTCTGTAACCTTAAATCTTTACTTGCCAATATCTAGCGCAAGCAGTGCTTGTCAACCTCTATCTTTATCAAAGCAATTACAAGACCTTTTAATGTCTCAGCAAGAGTTTATGCTAAGTCATGGTGGATCACAAACAAGAGCTGCTGTAGCCACCTACAGAGCTGAGCTTCAAGAACCGACAACACAGCACTTGGGACATTCCTATAAGTGCTCCATCTCATTCTTCTGTAGCTAGTGAAGAGCTCCAACTCTCATGGTACCAGTACCCACAGAATGTGGTTTGATATGTACAGCAAACAAGTACTATCTTATTCCCCAAACCTATTATTGTTACACTTACGATCTTCCTCATCATGAATTGTGACAGCAGCTTGTCTCACATCTCCAAGGACAGCAAAAGTTGGAGATGATATATGAACATAGAATGTTTCAGGTCCTTCATAGACAGAGTCATCGTTGATAATGACAGTGCAAGTTTTACTCTCTTGCCAGCTGTCAAACTGAACCTGTGAATACATTTATACCTCCATGATATGTTGATGTGAGGTGTTGGAAAATGTTCTGTGCTTAGATAATATTTATGTAAAATTATTTCAGATCAGCTGAATATATGTATATTCTGTAAGTTTATCTGTAGCAAAGCTGTTCGAAAATGTGTGTGTGCGCACTTGCACATATGTTTGTACAATGCAAACATATTCACATCTGTCATGCACAACATTATTTGTTAAAACATTACCATACATTTACACACAGTCAACTTTAAAAGGATCCAGTAACTGAGACTACAAACGTAAAGTAAAAATTGAGAGGATCAACCTTAGTGTTCCAGGTTATGCAATGTGGTTCAGTCTCTCTCTGAAGAACAGCTAGATACCTGCCAAGACCAGCACACTAATCCCCCACTCCATAGCTCTAGCAGCAATCCACATAAATTAAACAAACCAGATGTGAGGCCACAACAATTTGATCTAAAAACCATAAAGGAAAGACAAAAATAGTGAGAATACACTAGGAAAACAGTAATCAAATTTCTATTAGTGACATCCCACTCCAAGATGTGGAGTCTACAACTTGTTGGGTGTAATGTAGACAAAGATGAATGAACGAATGAATGAATGAATGAACTTTATTTTCAAAGGGTCACCAATTGGGCACACAGACCTGTCTTACACTCGGCCCTTCCAAACAACCATCTTTCACACAGCAGAAGTATTTTGTCAATAAAGCATGTTATGTTAATATAATAATATACATATTATGAATATTTAAAAAAAGAAACCATGGGTGGTAAAATGCATTTGCACACTCGCTCACATACACACACACAGCCACATACACATACCCACCCACTCAGTTAGTCACTCACACATACACACACACACACCTACACACCCACATACATACAAACTCACAAAAACTAAACTTGTAAAAATGTTTTTTTTTAATTTTTTTTTATATCTTTTTTTCTTTCAACATGCACACTAAGAGATAAGTTACAGTAATTTGATTCTGATTGTTCATACCTGCACTGATGTCAGAACGAAGTCCTGTAGTCCTGGCCTGCTCATATCTGTCCTTGAAGTTGCTGTACCAGGCAAAGTTGCACACTCAACCACACAGTACTATTAATGTACAAGAAACAAGTAAACAACAGTTAAACCAAATTAAGAACTGACATTACATGGGGCATTTTCGTATGTGCTACATCTCCTGCTTCAGTAGGTAGAACAGAGTTCCAATTCAAGAAGTACCAGTAGCAGTCTGAAAGTTTTTTCTTCTCCCCTTTCCTCTATGTGTTGGGTGTCGGCCAGGTACCCTGAAACTATTAAATATGTGGTCTAAAAGGGATCAAGGTTTGACCCCAATAAAGGCAGTGTTTTGTTTTTCCCTCAGCCAGCTTTAGGGTAAACCCAGACTGGATAATGTAACAGGGTCATTTGCATAATTTCTAGGACAGTGATCTAATCACCATTCTTGAAATATCATAGCAAGACTTTGTCCCTCAATGAGTGTGTAGTAAAAAGAACAGCAATGCCCTAGTGTATTTTATTCTGAATCAAAGATGCTTGCGTTAGCTGGAACATATCTCCTGCTTGGAGAACAATTGCATTCTAAAGGATCTCCTGTATGGTGTACTGGAAGCAGGGAAAAGATCTGCAGGAAGGTTAAGGCTAAACTGTAAGGACATATGCAAATATGACCTAAAGATACCAACATTTTTACAGATACTTAGGATGGGTCTGCTGTAGACTGACTCCTATGGAGACAGATAGTGACAGATGGACTGTCATTCTTTGCAAGTGGCCAAATGCTACAAGCTATAGGGGTGAGTTGTTGAGAGAAAACTCATTCCAGTATAACAGACTATGAAAGACAATGGTAGCAACCTTCACTCCCATATTGGACTTTACAGCCATAGCAAACACAGTTCTGCACAGCTTTATGGTCTTTAGGTAATGATGGCTGATATATATATATATATATATACACACACACATAGACACACACATACATACATCGGATTATTTTAAAATTGTCCCTACAATCTCACAAAAACCAACCAGTGTATGCAGTCATGGATTCCCAATTTTACCAAAGTTTTTTAACAGAAATAAGGTTACATCATATCAAAAATAGTTCAAGAAAATTTGTATGTGCGTGCTTATGTGTGTGGAAATGTTTGTATGTTGTGAATGTACATGTAATTTAAAAAATAAAATAAAAATAAGACTTTCCACTGTACATATGTTTTGCCACATTTAATTTCACCATATAAATTATTTGCCATGATTACATTTATACAATTTCTCAGTTCACACCTGGTACTTTTATACATATACCCCAGACAGAAGAGACTGCCTCATACAGGATTCCACCAAACATGAGCCACTGGGCAAGGAAGCAAATGTTCAAGTTACTGCTCTAATGCAGCTTCCTATCCAGGGAGGTGTTGGACAAAAACAAATAAGTTATGAAAAAAAATCCTGAAAAATAAGGTAGAGGATAGAAATTACACAAGCAATAATGATGTAAACATGTAAATATAGGAGATGCTACATGATGATGATGACGATTAGCTTTAAAATAGCGGTTAATAACTAACCTGTTTGAGATTGCCTCTCCTGACCACTGGCACTTGAAGTACTCTCTGTGTTTCTGTGATATTAAAAAATGACTGCCCTATGCTGATCTCCGACCACACGATATGGAATCGGTTACCAGGTACCATATTTGGCTTCCTGTCCATCACATCAAAGTCAAAGTTATCCTGTAAATTGCTGCTTCCTCTGCTCATTCTGTATCTGATCACTGCATTGTTGATGTCCTCTGTAGAACAGAGACCTTTATCATGTAAAGGACTTCCATGGTAAACTTGTTACATATGATAGTCACAGATGTTACTAATATTGCAGAACAAATGTGCAACAATGGGCACCAAAAAAAAAAGGTAAAGTAAAGATCCCTTTAAACGCCCTTAGGCGCATCGGGCATATGGGAAGAGCACCCATATTTTTACAGACCAATCGGCACTCGGTGGGTAATGTGGTCAGCATTACACCGGCCATCTTTACTTTCCCAGGACAGCCCATCCTGGTACCCATTTGAGTCTGAGTCGACCTGCGACGTCCCATACCACGATAAAAATCCACGCAGCCCGCAGAATGGGCACCAAACAAGAACACTAATCAATACAGTATTGTGTTTTTAACCAACATTGTATTACCAGTTAATAGACTGAAATAAATGGGGCATATTGAGAAAATGTCAGATGACATAGAGATGAAAACTGTATACACAAGGGAGCTGAATGGTCGTAGACCACGCGGCTGACTAAGAAGACGATTGAGAGATGATGTCCAGACAGACCTACAAACACTTGGTGTCACCAACTGAAGGGAGAAGGCCAACCAGAAAGATGAGTGGAGGTGGGTGATATCGGCAGCAGTTAACCTCAATGGCTAAGAATGCTGAAGAAGAAGAAGAACATAGTGTTACCTGTGCCAAATGTGGACATTATCAAACAAAAAAAGGAAAAAAAAACATAAAATCAAAATTGAAAAAAATGTCTGCGACAAATTCCTAATGTAACTAGACAAAATTAAAAATAAAAAAAAAACGGTGGAAATGAACCAGTATTAAACTACATTATGAGACAATAAATCAAATGGTTTGGACATGTGTCAGAATTACCACCAGATAGTGCACCACAGAGGGCTCTGTCACTTAAACACAATGGAAGCAGATTTAGAGGTCAACCACGCTTGTGATGGATTATCTGAGGTCATGAATACCAGCATCTATGTAGCACATACCAAGGCAGCATTCGAAGCCTCTTCAAAATTTGATGCAGAGCAGCAGAATAGGATGAGAGAAGAAGAGGAAGAAGAAGCAATAGTAAATAACATTACACTGAAACCCCCCAAAAATGTAGATGTAAGGAGTGAAGATATTTATATATATATATACTTACACAAACAAGTCTTCCAGAATTGATACCTATACAATATAAAGACCCTGTTCAGTGAACTTCTTACACATGATCATCATCATGTAGCAGGTCATTGGCAGAATGTTGCTCTTTCAGTCTGCCTTAAAGAGCCTTGCCTTTCTCCAGCTCTACCATCTTGTACATTTTACTACCCAAGGTGTCACTTATATACTGTTCTTACCTTCATAATGGTCAGCCCCTGCCCCTCTTTCCTGGTACCATGCCTCCACTATATACATAAATATACATACATATATATACATACATATATATACATACATATATATACATATATATATACATATATATACACATATATATACACATATATATACACATATATATACACATATATATACACACATATATATATATATATATATATATATATATATATATATATATATATATATATATATATATATATATATATATATATATATATATATATATACATACATATACATACATATATACACACACACATATATATATATACACATATATATATATATACACATATACATATAGCATGTCATGCACAAATTCACCACCTAGTGGTACAGAACAAATCAATCTATCTGTCTGTTTATTTCCTAACACTCTTGCATACCCGAGGAAAATATCTAAAGAATGCTAACTACCCAGGACCTCTGAAGCGATGCTTGCCACTCTGCATGAAACATGTCGTCTCCAACTTTCTCAAAATGTTTTGTTACAATGATGACATGTTAGTGCTGCTGGTTCTCATGCTAGCAGGCAGCTGCTGTCATGATAGCATGAACTCGTTCACTAACTGAGACACATAAATGTACTTAAATATACATGTTAAGAGGACAACAAATTAGAAAAGAAAGAAATGACAAAGATAAATTAAAATATGTTCTCACTTTGTGTAAATGATTTTAAATGTTTCCCAGGATGCCTTGTGTTCTCTAAGAAACCAAATTTAGGTAAATCTGTCACAATGTACATTATTTCATAGGATGGAGAGTCTTCATCAGTAACAAACAGCTCCTTTGAAGTGATCACTTTTCCAACCTGAAACAGAAACTGTAATGTTAGTGTTTCATTTTTCATAGAGACAAAGACAAATACACATGTTGTTGAATTAACAACATTTGTGTTCGTCTTACGTTGTTAATTCAACAACATCTGTACTTGTATACAAAGGTTTTTAAGATGCTGGAATTAAAAGAAACGTTGTTGAAATAAACAATAAAAGAACAAGGTAAACATTTCGGTCATTTTAAAAGGCATAACACTTTTATATAATCCATACTGAAGCGAAGAGTTGAAGACAAGAGAGCAAGAGGCAGACAATGATATAATTGGGAGAATAATATTAAACAGAGATCTGAAATTGTTCAGCCAGGGCAAGAGATGGGGTTTTGGAGATCTATGCAGCCCTTTTTGGAGACAGCATCTGATGGAGTGGTTATTTCTTTCTGAACTGATCAGACTGGTAAGATACAATTATTAATTAAATTCAAGTGATAAGTTTTTCAGAAAAAGATGGCACAGAAATAATCTTAAAATGACATACAAAGACATCAAATATTTTGCTGCTTAGAAAGAATGCCTTGTGATGCTATACCATACAAGGCATTCACCAAAAGAGGAGAAAGACGAAGGGCACAAGGCAGAACTAATGAACTTTATTTCCTGAAGAAGAAAAAATTATAAACTGAACATGGAGGTCCATCTTACATTGAGCCCTTTCAAACAGTAATCTTTCACATGGTAATTGTTCTTTATATATCAAGCATTTTGTGCTAACATATCAAAATGTTCATAGTATGGAATGTAAATTAAAAATACAAAAGCATGGATGACAATTTCTCCTATCTTCAAATATTCATGCAACACACACAATAGAGGCACTCATGAGGCAGAAAAACAAGAGAGGCAGTAGAGCAGACTCAAACACATTTACTTACACACACAGAGGTGCACACACTGGCAACACACACCCACACAATACATACTAACAAACACTGAACACACAGAGACAAAACATGTATAAACAGACAAAACACATACTCACAGACACAACACATACACACAGACAAAACTATACACAAACACAACACACACACAACACACAGGCACGATACACAAATAGACACTACACATACAACATACAGGCACGATACACAAATATACACTACACATACAACACACAGGCACGATAGACACTACACATACAACATACAGGCACGATACACAAATAGACACTACACACACAACACACAGGCACGATACACAAATAGACACTACACATACAACACACAGGCAGCTAGGACACACAGACAGACATGAGCAGCTAAAGACTTTAGCTAAAGAAACATTCCAATCAACTAGAAAGAGCTGGCAAGACAAGACAAGACTAAGAGCCTAAGTTTTGAAAAAGACGGGTCTTTCTTCTTTTGTCATTTCACTGATAGCAGGTAGTAGCCCAGTGTCGCAGTTTTCTGTATTTGTCTTGGGCTTCTCAGTGGCTTGAGTGATGGATTTGTTCATCTTTTTTGCTGACTTCAACTACACCATTTATCATATCTTTCTTAGTCTTCCTCTCATCTTCCTCCCAGATGTTCTACTGTAAAAAGTCTCATATGCAGTCTGGTCTGGATGCATTCTCATTAGATGTTGAACCACTTCATTCTTTGTCTGTAAATATAATCCAAACATGGTCTTATTCCAACTTTAACGCTGGTTTTCGTAATCCTGTCTCGCCTAGTGTTGTTAGTGACCTTGAGGAGACAGCACATCTCACATGTAGTTATTTCCTGTTCTAGTGCCCTATTCACTGTCCATGTTTGGCACTGATAACATAAAGTAGGGATAAAGATGCTATTAATCATATTTAGCACCTTTATCCCTACTTTATGTTATCAATGCAAAATATGGACAATGAACAGGGCACAAAAAATGGGTCCAAACTCTGGAAACTAGTCTAAACGAAGAAGCTCAACTAGCAACCAATCCGGTATAAATAAATGATGGCAACAAGATCAGATCTGGAAATGGTGGGGAAAAGCTGCAAATATCTTTTTAAAGCACTTTAAATCTGTTAAATTTTCAGTCTCAAAAATTCAAAATCATGCGCTCTGTATTACGACAGGGGCATGCACTCCACACAAATATCAGACATGGAAATAATTACTGGTCTCCATGTTCTGGAAGACAGGAGAGACACAAAGCTCCTCATCCAGCTCTCCAAATACCACCACCATTTAAAAGAAGAAACCCATGCACAGCCAACTGCAGAAACCCATGATGGTTAGACTAAAGAGAACATGTTTCATTTAAGAACACAAATGCCAAGCTCGCCGACATCAAACTCCCTCCCATAGTACTAGCTGCTTAACTTTAACCTTACAACCACTGCCCCTCTTGGCTTAGGGATAACTACCGTAACAGGGATCTCTCCCAAATCATTAGTGAGCAGCACTGATATGAAGTCGATTACAGAAGGAGAGATCAACAGACTTTATCCATACCAGAGTTGGATTAGAGTCTATACAGATGGTTTAGCCAAGAGAGTAGTAAGGGACGCAGGAGGAGGAGGACTACACATAGAATGCCCAAATGGTTTAAAAATCAACCAAGCCATACCAACAGGTTCATATTCTTCCAACTATACAGCAGAGGCAGATGCACTTCTAGTGGCATATTCTTTCCTGAATGGACAACAGCACAGCAAATATAGCAGAGTGGTATTTCTGACTGTTGCTATGTCAGTTCTATAAGCAATTGTTAACCCAAAAGACATGCAGTCTGTATACTTGACGAAACAGCTGACTGACCTAGGCTCTTCAGTAGAACCGAATGTACTGCAGTGGATTCCAGTGGCTTGGAAGGAAATAAAATAGCAGACAGATTGGCCAGAAGGGGCAGTGAAATGGTACAACCAAATAGTGACTTAACCCAGCAAAAGACTAAGACATTAATACACTCTATAGTGTCCAAGAAAGGTGGCTGGATACACACAACAGATTCTCTCCTCAAAATTCGCTTCATCGCCTCTCTAGATAGGGGTAGTGTATTATGTTCAGACTAAGGAAAGGGCACAACAGATTTCATCAATATATGGTCAAACTTTTTGGTGTCGGAAACACGAAAACGTGTCCCTGAACATGAGCTTCAACACTGTCACTGTATGTTGGCAACAGAAATCTGGCCTGTTCCAACCAAACCGAAAACAAAGCTTTATGGTACACAAGAAGATATGGACTGCATAATAGCTTTTATAAAGGCTACCGGCCTACTGATAAAGGTTTTCTGACAGAAGGATCAAAGGAGGAGGAGAAGAAGAAGACACACAAAAATGACATACACAGACAATAGGCACATGCACACACACAGACACAACATACATCTTGTAGGGAGTTCGAAACCCAAGTTCATGGTGTCTCCTTCGTGCCAAAGAACTGCTTGGCTGTTGGGTGAACAGTCGTTAATGAAGCCAGTCAGGTCATTGTAGGGGTGACGCTTGCTAGTGGATGTAATGTCCTAAGTCCCTTCCCCAGCTAATAGTGAGGGTACTGCTGGGGTGACAGTTTATTAACCCTACATAATGCTTCAGGTCAAAATGGACGCTAGGCACGGCCACTTTTTTTTTAGCCGTGGCACAATTTTTTTCTTTGCTTCTGCCAGACGGTGGCCGTTGCATTTTTGCTCCATTTGTAGACGGGAAGGATATAGTTTCGTTGCCCAGCTTCTGAGTTGAGTGCATGGCATGGCACTGTGAGCTGCAGATTTCATTTGAACTGTGATAAACATTTTGTGTGTTTTTCGTTGGCACAGGAGCGGAGCAACTATGAGGTGACCCGTTTGCTATGAAGCTGAAACTAAGATTACCAGATTACCAGACACAACACACAAATACTATACACAGACAATACACACAGATATGACACACACACAACACATAAACATAGACACAAAACAATGCCAAACACACACAGACACAAAACACACTCGGACACAACTCACGCCACAAACACATCGCATACAACATATTCACATAAACACAACAGGCGCAGTCATACACAGACACACTCACAGATAAAGACACACTGACACAACCCACACAATAATAATACACTCACAGACACAAGAATACTATATACCCAGACACGCCACACAAACACAGCTTACACAGACACAAACGCAATACATGCTCACAGACATAAATACATTACACAGATTAGGAACAATATGGAAAGATAAAATTAGAAAAACTCTACAACAGCAAGATGTGTCTAGGATCGAGGTGACCAGAAGAGCAAGAAGCAGAAACAAAGACAAAGAATAAATAATAAAAATAAATGTATAATTTTTCAATAAGTTAATTACTAAATGACAGAGCAAATAAAATTTTTACATTTGTTTAGAATTTCAGCAGCTAGCTACGTATCTTTGACATGACCTTGCAAACCAACTCCAGCCTTTGTTGGTGCAAGTGGTCTTTACAAAGAAGGGTCAATACCCCACCCAACTTTCAAAATTAACACAAAGTGGTCTGCTGCCTAATCAACTGCCACTGAATTGAGCCAATCATTTTAAAATAATGAACCTTGTTTGTAACCCTTTAGCCAAAGATGCTGACATCTAATTATTTTTTAATTAAGCATAATTCTCACAGAAGTATGTTAAAAATGACTGATCACAGAGCTTTTAAGTACTCACTTCAGTGCTTTCAGATTCTAAATATGCAGACCAATTATAAACCAGCAGAGAAAAGGTTGCAAATGTTTGCTGACAAATGTTTGTATGTTTTTAAACAGTTTTTCTTCAGTTTGTTTTAAAGTACGCTAGATATGATCATGCCATTAGGTACTCACTTCAGTGCCTTCAGATTCTAAATACTGCAGACCCAGATTTCTCTCAATTATAGGCACTCCATCATCAACCAGCAGAACAGTGATGGCAAATGTCTGCAAGAACATAAGTGGTTTATTATGGTTTATCCTTTGCAAAGATTGTTATAAAAAGTTCATGCGTAAAATGAATTCAAGAAGGTAAAAAAGATGTCAAGCTAAGGAGTTTTTGCCAAGGCACTGAGGATGAAAGACTTGATAAAAAAAAAAAAAGGCCAAAAACATAGGTTACCAAATAGCACCAATTTTGAGGCATCAAAAAATTAACATGCACACAAAAAAGCAGCTGATAACTTGATCATCCTCATCAAACATCTGGTCTAGACGCTCACTTGCAGATCGGAAAGTTGTCGGTTCGGGTCCTGACGGGGGCTGGACTTTTTTCAAAAATGACCTTGGCTCTCAGGTTGACCCAGCCTTGAGTGGGTACCAGATACAGTCCTGGGAAGTAAAGGCAGCCATCGTGATGCTGACCACATCACCCACAAAGTGCCGTTCGGCCTCTAAAATATAACACTAGTCCTATATACCCAATACGCCTGAAGGCATAGAAAAGGGTCCTTTACTTTTTACTTACTCATCAAACATCAAACAAGTCCATAAAACATCTTGCTGTATATAATCTCTCAGATAATATTAGTTGATATTTGTGCATGCACTAAACAGGCTTCAGGCACAGTACAAGTTTTCCAAGTAGCATTTGATTAGGACAGGGAATATTAAGTCAAATCAAGGTCAAGCGATCTCAGATATAAACACACAGAGCCTCCTTTCAAATAACCAAATAGGTCACGTGTCACCGAATCAGTGAACACCTTTCCTGTGTGAGGCCCATTTGGGAGGGGGTGAGAGATAGGGATAGACTCACTGAGCCTCTAACAAGCTTACCACAGAAAGTGACTAATTAGGGGTGTGTCCTTTGAAATCACAAGGCATTTGCTGAGATGTGAGAAACCAACAGTCTGCATTTAAATAAGCCAAATTAGTAAAACTGATGTGCATGCAAAATTCAAGTTCTGGAAAAAGACTAAAAAAGTCCAGAAGTGGCTGAACAAATAGAACTTTCTGCTGGATTTTACAGCCAGCAAATGCTAAAAAGAAGAAGTGGTTGACATGTGTGGTCCCATTTGATTTCTTCATTCAACCATTTAGTTTGGGTTATTAATAGTGTGTGTGGCTTAGGCGTTACGAACGAGCTTTGTAATGTGGGGGTGCCGGATTCTATTACAGCTGCAGGCCGTGCATTGGTTTCAACAGTGGTATCGAGAAACCGACCACCCACAAAGCAAACTAATGGAGGTAAATTTGCCTAGAAAAAACCACAGCAGCCAACAAAAATATCCTGTAAAGGATACACAGTTAACAACTAACTAACTTTTTTTTTTTTACTTTATACTTTAATACACACTATATTTTTTTAAAACTAGTTGCTTGTAACTATAACTATGTGAAACACAAATTACTCATTTCCTAACCTGTGGAATCTCTAGTGGCCTGTTTGCAGGTGAACCCTGTTGTAAGGTAAACAACCTGTTAGTTCCATCACTAACAAGAAATGTGAACGAATCATGGGTTGTCTCTCCACTTCCATGTTGGTAGCTGACACGGTTTTCATAGATATCTTCCATGGTGAAGGTTTTTGTTGTGCTGTATGATCCTGATGTGTATAGATCAAGACTACCGTGCTCTGGAGGTTTTACAACAGTAAACAAGATCATGTGCTCCTGCAAAAAAAATTCCAAAAGTGTGTTACAAATGGCTGCATAAATGTGTGTATATTGTATACATGAATAATTGAGTACTGGTGTGAGGGTAAGTGTGCTGGAGCTTGCACAAGAGCCTATAAGAAAGTAAATTTCATCATCTCAATCTTGAACCTCTGGTATCTTTGGTGTCAAGGTGAAGTATAATCTACGGGAATGTTAAGAATAGAAGTAAAGACCAGACCCAGCCAAAGACTACTAATTTGTATGGACAGATCAGAACAAGTGATTATCCTGCACCTCAGAACATGGTACAGCTGGGAAAGTACAGAGTAAATCTATATAATTTATAACATAGTGTATCACTGCGGTAAGGAAATAAAAATAGTGCATCTGTTCGTATCAAAATATACAAACAAAAATAAATGTAGAACTGATCAAAGAAAAAACATTTAACTGTATGTAGAACTCTCTATGTAATTTTTCTTTTGTCAGTTTGAATGAGAAGAGAGAGTTCTGAAGTTCAGTATTAAGCCAGCTCTGGTGTACCAAAGGGAATCATGGACAACTAGAAGACTATAGAGAAATTATGTAGTATTACAGAAGAATGATTAAAACAAGTATATAAATATTCTTTTATTGCAAATTAGATGGAGACCAACAATCATATGGTGAAGACAGAGACAGAAATGGGAAAGAAAGGGAAGAGGAAGCAGTATTGTACTGTTTATAAAACTTGACTTTTGTTATAATTTCTTCCACAATAAAAAAATGTGTAAGATGAGAGTTTTGAGAAAGTTGTACTGATTAACTTGTTTAAGATGTAGAGTCATAATACAGGTGGATACTGTCCCATTGTGGAGTGCCCAGAAATGAGAGAGCTAATCCACAGGCAGGGGAAGGTGTGACAACAAATACAGAAAGGTTATAATTTTGTTCAGTTTTCTCACTTGATATTTATATTATGTGTATTGCTAATTTAATTTATTGCTATTTTATCAGCCATGTGCACATGTAAAAGTCACCCCAGACAGCATAACATGTACTTATGACTCATCAAAAACAACACATTAGGGAAAACCTTTTGGCCAAAAATAACAAGGAAAGTTAACTCTACAGACCACTGAATTAACTGAAAACCACAGTGCAATTTATGTGAGAGACAAAAATTCTGCTACAAACAACTTCTTTTAGGCAAATGAAAGAAGTAGAAGACTTGTTTAAGAAATTTTGAATTTGCATAAAGGATTCACCTGGAGATGACAATAAATTGAGACGGGGGGACGGGGGGAGGGGAGGGGGGTTAAATAATTGTATTTTAAGCTTTATTACTAACTATGCAAGACAACACCTGCATCTCTTAAACATTTTTTAGAACTAACATCATAGAACTCGGGACATTCCCTTAAGTGCTACATCATCTTTAGCAGCTGCGCAGAGTTCCATTTCTGATGGGACCAGTGGCAGTCTGACTGTATGCCCGTCTTGCCTTTTCAATGGCTGTTTAGTATTGCCAGATCCCCCTGGTCACTCCCCATCTTTCTTAATATTCTCTGTGAGCAGTTACAATCACGACATGTGTGTTCAGTTGATTCTCAAGCCAGCTGAAGGCTGCAGTGACTGCAACCACATCCATTCTTAAACTTGATGTTGTAGTAGTCTAAATATGGTTACATATCAATACAAGATTACAACTTCAAGTTTACAAATGAATTCTTCTTCTTTTGTCAGTATGTATACCACTAGGTACCAGAGCTAAACAGATGATCAACAGTACTGAGTCCGGGCAAGCTCAGGTGCTTGGTATGCTGTGGCATTATAAAGTCTCAAGTTGTCAATGACTTCTTCAGTCCATATTCCTCTAGATCTCCCTCTGCATCTTAGCATTCAATTTTGCAGGTTTAAGGCTCTCACTGCCAGCATCCTTGGGTTCATTCTCATTAGGTGCCTGAATCATTTCTGTCTTTGCAAAGGTAAAGGTAAACTCGGGAGATGTGAACCAGCATCACTGCACACGGTTATAAACAATAAGTGCTCTGCCACCAGTATGGATAGTTGATGAGAAACTGTCCACCTGGGTCACCATCTGCACGTAACACAATAGCTACAGTGACATTCCTCCATTCACCTCAGAGTGTCAACTCTGGTACCCATTTCCTAGAAGCTGGGTGAACCCCAGGAACCACCCGATTTTGAACAACGACCCTAGCTGCAGGGAGCTGGATTTGAAAGCGAGCCTCCTATCGACTGCACTAATGCTGTCTTTGTTTAATGTATAAACAAATCATAAACAACTAAGCATGTAACAACCTTGGTGTCTTGGTCCACAGCTTTAAGATCAAACTCTGTGATGAGTTTTCTAACACCCTCTTGCACTTTGAGCCCATTATTACTCAGTGCAGGTATTGCATCATCCACTGGTTGAATGTTGATGAAGAAAACCTGAACAATCTGAAAATATGTTGGGGAAAAAAAAACATATGCTAGCATAGGCATGTATAATAAGAATGTAATTTTATCTCAGTCAATGCAGCATGTTTTACCATCCTTGGAATTTACACTGCATCTTTTAATGTGCTTTAAAAACCTTTATATTTAGGCTAAGTATACTAAAGAAATATGGCCAGTTATTTTAACATGTAGGGCAAAATCTGCTGCTACTGCAAAAGTAATACATCATGTTTTCTCTTTGTGGTTAGGGATGTGTTGCAGCCAACCTTTATTACAGTGACAGCGCCTAATTGATTGAGGTTACATGTACACAAATTACAATTCAAACCAAAACAAACAAACAAAACAGGGGGAAAAAACAATAAGCAACAAACCACAAAACAAAATGAAGATAAAAATAATAATAAATGCTCTACATTCCATCCATTCCCTACCGTTATTTCTAACATTATCAGCCTGGATTTTCTTTGCCTTTCTCTTCTCGATTTACCCTCACCTGTATCCTAGAGCTGTTGTTCCCATTTGTTGGTCTGCGGCCCCCTGGAGGTCCATAGCACAAACTTAAGGGCACCATGATATCATTTTGAAGAAATATAACCCAATGATTGAGTAGGGTTTCCTGGATCTCTCCACATGTGATCCTCATCCGTATAATGGCACTTTGTGTTACCGGGTCTTTATTGCTCCATGTGATGTCCTAGTGGGGTAAAATTTACTTACTTTTTTTCAAAAATGACCTTGGCTCTCAGGCTGACCCAGCCTTGAGTGGGTACCGGGTATAGTCCTGGAAACTTATGGCGGCTGGCATGATGTTGACCGCATCACCCACCAAGTGCCAATCGATCTTTAAAATACAAGTCTAGTCTTATATGTCGGGTACACCTAAAGGCTTGGTAAAGGGTCCATTACTTTACTTACTTTAATTAGTAAACAAACTTCATTAAAGTATCTGATTAGCAGGCTGAAACATAGTAAAATTATTTTAATGAAGCACACAAAATATTTAAAACATATAACAAAAGCTGGAAGTGAACCTTGTTTTTCCCATCAGAAACAGCAAAGGTGAACTGATCCATGGTTAGCTCCAGGGTGCTAGTGTGTACATAGATCACTTTGTTGGCTGCCAGATCTGCTTGAGTGAAGCTCATAACTGGGATACCTGGGATCATAAAATGAGTAGCCCAGTGATGATTCTGTGATGTCTTTGTCCCCTTTATTATTTTTACTGTCTACAGACAGCATTTTATAGAAAGCAATTATCATCATCATTTACTGGCACCTTTCCGTCCTTCCAGATAGTGTTATCTTGCAATATGAGGAGGCATGAGACTCACAGCCCATGGAGATGATGAGTGTGCCTAGCAAGACCCACCTGCGTTAAGAAAATTCTTCCTTTGTTTATTCCAATAAATTTATTCCACAAAGCCTGGGCAGTATTGTAGAGAACATATGTTGCCAAGGCATCATGATCCCTCTCTCAACATGCCTTGTTTACTTTACAGAAAAGATAACACCAGTATGTTTGGAATAAAGCAGGCTGCAGAAGCTACTGGATCAGAAGAGCAGTACTCTGTCTGTCTGCTTGTCAGAGCTTCCCTGCTAGACCAGCTGCCAGCCAAGGTTTAAGGGTCTGGTCTGCCCTGCCATAACATGAGGTTTTCAGGTTGCATTTCCTCTTTCTAGGAAAAAGCCAGTATTCTCCCCCATGAGCTCCTCCACTCAAAGCCGTAGGCACAATATGGGATGTTAGGTTTGGTGTATGCCACTCAACATTCAGCGTTAGCAGTAGACAGGTCATACCAGCTACTGATGTAGAGTAGCTCCGGCATATTGACCAAGTCCTCAGACAATAATAGCTAGCATAAATATGTAGTATGACAGAATACCTTCATGATCTAGACCACTAGTTCTCAATTTTCCTTATGCCGCGACCCCTTAATACAGTTCCTCATGTTGTGCCGACCCAACCATACAATTATTTTTGTCGCTTCTTCATAACTAATAAATATATGTTTTGCGATGGTCTTTGGCAACCCCTGTGAAAGGGTCATTCAATTTAAAAAAAGGGTCGCGAGCCATAGGTTACGAACCACTGATCTAGACTTTAGATGACATGTTTTTCTGGTACCATACATGAGGTCAGCTGTAAAATACATTTATCACACTTGGTAAAGATCATTAAAGTTAGGTGTAAATATTTATAAAGGTGTACTGGCCACTGATCAAAGCTGTCATGTCATCAAAAATCCATAAACATCAGAAAACCAGCTTTTAGGGCAACAGGTTAAATCCACCTCAGTTGGGTAGCAGACATAGTATGCAAACCACTGCACTACTGGATTCCCCTCATCATATAGCTGGTCCTTTACAGAACGTTGCTCTCATTACAGTCTGCCTGAAAGAAACTAGGTCCCTCACCAGCACTCCTGCCTATGTACTTTCCTCCACAAGGTACCACTAATTTCCTGTGCTCTTTTTTAATTAGTATTAAGCCCTCTGCTACTTCTCTTTCTAAAACTATTGTTGCATTAATGGGCTTTCTAAAATGTGTAAATACAACATTTATTACTTTATCAAGTAAATATTAACTTAAACTTAATAATTTATACTCTTACAGTCTTATAAAATTATTACATAAGCTGTAATATATTGAATAATGAAACATAACTAAAAGGCGCAAATATCTATTTTGAATTAGAAACATAAAACCTATATATAACAATTATAACCAGACGGACCGAACAGGATAATGTTTAAATTACACTACTACTTTATTAATTAATGTTTCAAGAAGTATTAATCCACATCTGAGGTGTTACACATGCCTGGTTGGCCTAAGAACTCCAGGTGTCCCAAGTCTGGACCTGCCATTACTGTATAACTCAAACTTCCAGGCTCTGTGTCAGCATCCGAGAAGGACAAGAAATTTGTGGTTAGTTTTTCTCTTGAACCCTCGATCACTAAAAACTCTTTGTTGCTGACCACAAATGGTGGGCGATGGTCATCTGTTAATTAGAAACAGAGCATGTAAAAAAAAAAATTATTACAGAGATCAACAATGCATAAAGAGATGTTATTAGTAGTAATGAACGCATCCATGTCTTTTTTGTTCTTACTACTCATCCTCTTTCTTCTATTTCTTCTTCTTCTGTTTCTTCTGTTTCTGCTGTTTCTGTTTCTGCTGTTTCTGTTTCTGCTGTTTCTGTTTCTGTTTCTTCTGTTTCTGTTTCTTCTGTTTCTGTTTCTTCTGTTTCTGTTTCTTCTGTTTCTGTTTCTTCTGTTTCTGTTTCTGCTGTTTCTATTTCTTCTCTTTCTGTTTCTTCTGTTTCTGTTTCTGCTGTTTCTATTTCTTCTGATGTTTCTTTTATTTCTGTTTCTTTTGTTTCTTATTCTTCTTCATCTTCTTCAGTTTCTTCTTCTTCTTCTTCTTCATCATCATCTTCTTCAATTTCTTCTTCTTCTTCTTCTTCTTCAGTTTCTTCTTCTTCTTCAGTTTCCTCTTCTTCTTGTTTCTTCCTCTTCTTCTTGTTTCTTCCTCTTCTTCTTGTTTCTTCCTCTTCTTCAGTTTCTTCTTCTTCTTCAGTTTCTTCTTTCTCTTCAGTTTCTTCTTCTACTTTAGTTTCTTTTTCTTCTACTTCAGTTTCTTCTTTAGTTTCTTCTTCTTCTACTTCAGTTTCTTCTTTAGTTTCTTCTTCCTTTACTTCAGTTTCTTCTTTAGTTTCTTCTTCCTTTACTTCAGTTTCTTCTTTAGTTTCTTCTTCCTTTACTTCAGTTTCTTCTTTAGTTTCTTCTTCCTCTACTTCAGTTTCTTCTTTAGTTTCTTCTTCTTCTACAGTTTCTTCTTTAGTTTCTTCCTCTTCTACAGTTTCTTCTTTAGTTTCTTCTTCCTCTACTTCAGTTTCTTCTTTAGTTTCTTCTTCTTCTACAGTTTCTTCTTCTACTTCAGTTTCTTCTTTCTCTTCAGTTTCTTCTTCTACTTTAGTTTCTTTTTCTTCTACTTCAGTTTCTTCTTTAGTTTCTTCTTCCTTTACTTCAGTTTCTTCTTTAGTTTCTTCTTCTTCTACAGTTTCTTCTTTAGTTTCTTCTTCTTCTACAGTTTCTTCTTTAGTTTCTTCTTCTTCTACAGTTTCTTCTTTAGTTTCTTCTTCCTCTACTTCAGTTTCTTCTTTAGTTTCTTCTTCTTCTACAGTTTCTTCTTCTACTTCAGTTTCTTCTTTAGTTTCTTCCTCTTCTACAGTTTCTTCTTCAGTTTCTTCTTTTTCTTTAGTTTCTTCTTCAGTTTCTTCTTCTACTTTAGTTTCTTCTTCAGTTTCTTCTTCTTCTTCAGTTTCTTCTTTTTCTTTAGTTTCTTCTTCAGTTTCTTCTTCTCCTTCAGTTTCTTCTTCTTCTTCAGTTTCTTCTTCAGTCTCTTCTTCAGTTTCTTTTTCAGTTTCTTTTTTAGTTTGTTCTTCTTCTTCAGTTTTTCTTTCTTCTTTTTCTTCTTTTTTTTCTCCATTTTCTTCTTCTCCATTTTCTTCTCCATTTTCTTCTTCAGTTTCTTCTTCATCTTCTTCCTCTTCATCATCTTCTTCCTCTTCATCATCTTCTTCCTCTTTATCATCATCTTTATCTTCATCATCATCTTTATCTTCATCATCATCTTCCTCTTCATCATCTTCTTCCTCTTCATCATCTTCTTCCTCTTCATCATCATCATCATCTTCATCATCATTTTCTTCTTTTCTTCTTCTTCTTCTTCTTCTTCTTCTTCTTCTTCTTCTTCTTCTTCTTCTTCTTCTTCTTCTTCTTCTTCTTCTTCTTCTTCTTCTTCTTCTTCTTCTTCTTCTTCTTCTTCTGCTTTTTCTTCTTCTCTTCTTTTTTTTTCTGTATTTGTCCTAAATTGGCACATTGTATTATCATTTACAGCCAGGTTGCACCTTTTAACCCAATACCTACGATTTCAGCAAATTATAAGTTAGTCACTCTTTATGATGTTTGTTAAGTGGCAGGGGGTCTATTCATTTACCCTCCAAAACTAGCCTCAGGAACCCACACATCTCTCTGAAGATTTAGATCAGGTCTGAATGTGTGTGTGTATTTTTTTTTTTTTTTTTAAACACCAGAGCTTTCTGCCAGAGTTTACAGCTGGTGAACACTATGAAGAAAAAAGAAAAGATTCAGTTTCCATGCCACTGTGGCATTTTGGGGTAAATGCTGCGTCATCAAAAAAGTACATGGTGAGTGACATGATCAGTACAATACTGGCTGTTTGGACTTCTATAATATTTATGGTACTCATTTTAATGTTAATATCAATTATTTGTACAGCTATAAAAATATAAAGTATTAAAAAAAAGACACTGCTGTGAGTGTTTGCTTGCATTTGAAGATAATTCAATGTTTCTATAAAACCTTTCATAATCTTTGTGAAGTTGATGTACGTTTGGCAACATTCAGTTTGGCTTACCGTAGACTGTAATAAAGAAATCTTGGTCAATTAGGTCATTCCCCTCAGTATCAGTTAACTTGAATTTAAACAGCATATTGCCAGTTTGTTCTCCAATCTCATGAACAAAGGAAATGTATCCTGAAAATAAACATTACATATACATGCTTCAGATCAGATCATTTCTCTTTCTTAGCCAAGTAAATTACTTGCAGTTAATCACTTGTAACATTTGTACCTCTAGAAAGTAAACATTTACAGTCATATCAATAATATAAACTGTGCAGCACTTCTCTTCTTCTGCCTCTCTATCCCCCAATGGAGCATAGGCCCTCAACCAACTCACGCCAAGTTGTTCTATCCTTCGCCATTGCATGCAGCTCTCTCCATGTCCTCCCCATCTTTCTAACTTCATTCTCCAGCTCTCTTCTCCATGTGCAACAACAATATTTTACTGTGCAGCACTGCCTTGGCAAAATTTCATAATGGAATCTTTTCACATATGAATATTTATGACTCAGAACAGAATAGAATTGAATAATTTAAGAAAATTAAGTTCCTAATATTTTATCTTATGCTACACTCACCGTTATCAAGGTCCCTCTGCTGAAATGTTTTGGTTACAGAAACAGCAGATATAGTATAAGAAGCCTGGCCATCACTGAATTCAAGATGTCCAAAATTCGGATCCTTCATGATTGTGTACACAATTTGTGAGCTCTCACTGTCCAAGTCTGATGCTCGTAAATCCTGCTGTGTTATAACTGTTGTAGTGCCTAGGAAACAATGTGATTGTTAAGTACGCGCCCTTTATCACAATAGCTCTTGAACTGCAGTATTTTAAAAAATGCAACAGTTTAATTAAAAATGTCAAGTGATGGTAGATAAAGGTGACTGCAGGAGGCCAGATCTGTAATTTAGCCCTTCTTGTCTATATTTTTTTTTACATATTTCTTGGCTTCATGTTGACCTTGGGTTTTACAAGCTCTGTTGTCTTGTCCACTGAGTTTTTCACTCAGTTTATATTGTGTTTAGTACTCCATTGATAAAGATTTGTTCAAAGCATTCAGATGTATTTGTGCGTGTCTTTTCTATTCCCTTCGTTGAGTTTTCTAGTCACATTTTATGTTCTATTTAGTACCATTTAAATATTACATTATTCTGCTCCGATTTATTAGTGATATTTATTTATTGTATTATATATTTTTTTGTGATGTAACCAGAGAGCAATGTGATGTCCTTAAATATCGGTGGTCATGAAATACCAGAGATCCGACATGCTGATGATACAGTATTGCTATCCACATCACAGACTGGTATACAAAACCTAATAACCTCAACCCAATTATGGAGTGGGACAGACAGAACTATAAAAATGAGATTTCTAAGAGCATGCATCTTTCCCATTGCAACATACACCTGGGAGACCTGGACACTTAATAAACAGACCGAACAGCGCATACATGCGTTTGAATGCAAATGTTATAAACGGGTTCTAAGAATATCATAGGTAAAGAAAAGAACCAATGCATTCATACTTCAAGAACTAAATACTGTGAAGATTCAAGAACTGAATACTGCGAAGGTTGGCTTTTAAAGATGATAAAACACAGAAAATTGAAATATTGTGGTCACTTAAAACATCAAACAAGTTTAAAGAGAACAATAATGGAGGGGTACATGCCTGGGAAGAGAGGAAGAGGAAGACCAAAGAGAAGATGGGTGCAGGATGTGGCTGATGATCTCCAGGTGGGTGTATCGGACACGGGACATCTTGCTTGTGATCGAGAAGTTTATCTGGAGGGTTGTTATGGAAGCAAGGTTCATGCTACTAACTGACTGACTGACAGATTTATTAGTAAATAATGCTAGTACATATTTTATAAACCAATCAGCACTCAAATGATGATCTGATAATTATCTAATTGCTGAATTTACATCTCATGATATTTCCTGGTATTCAGTTTAGGACCTAGACACTTATCTGCCAGTCTGAAAGTTTTGAGTTTGAATCCTCATAAGTAATATTTTTTTTTTATACGTTACTTGGCTCTCAGGTTAATCTAGCCTAAAATGGGTAAGTAAAGGTAGCCGGTGTCATATTAACTACTTCACTTATTCAGTGTCTATCGGTCAACAAAAATATGAATCTAGCACCTTATTCCCTATATGCCATCGGCATGAAAAGGGTCATTTATTTTACTGTTACTATAGACTGGAAATGGCTTAGGGCCTCAGGTCAATATTTAAAACATCTGCCTTGGTGAGAATTCTAGCCTGAGACTGCCTTGCCATGCTAGTCACTGCACTACAGTGGCTCTTTTCTTTAGTCTACATATGCTTTTCCTTCTTGCAGACCAGTTTGCATTGGTTTTGATAGCGGTATTGAAAACCAAGGGCAAACTACTGCAGATATAATTGTCTAGGGAAATCACAAACAGTCAAAACATGTTGGAAGTTAGTTCTGCAACATCCTTTTAAGGGTTATGAAGAAAAAGATACGGTAAAGGACCCTTTTCCACGCCTACCGGCATATTGAACATATAGGGCTGACCTACATTTTATAAGCCAATTGCAGTCAGTGAATGATGTGGTCAACATCAGGCCAGCTGCCTTTACTTTCAGGACTTTATGCAATACCAATTTCAGATTAATTCAACCTGAGAGCCAAGGTAATTTTTTAACAATAGTCCCGCTCCATCAGGACCCGAACCAACAATGTTTTGGATCCACAGTTAAGCATCGGCCGCTTCACTTGAGCAGCTCCTCTTTCAAGGTACACAACTAATTCGTTTTTTTTTTTTTTTGCATGCGTGCAATTTTTACCTACTTGCATTTCAAATATGTTCAGTTTTTATCAAATGGTTATTAGTAAGTCAAAAAAATAGCTGTTACCTTTACTTTTTAGGAAATCATTAGGTTAAATCAAACTGCCATTCCTGATTTTGTTTCATCGGTACACTGACTAGTTCTGCTTCTTATTCACACTTTTTTTTTTATGGCAGTAGCACAGTTGTCAGGTACTTGCTTATAGTTTTGTGGTCAGTGTTAAATCCCTAGAATTAACCAAATTACTATTTCTGACAAGCTCAACAGTCACGTCTATACACAGATCTTGGCCTTGGCAGTGTACAGCCCATTCTCATAAAAATGGTTTTGAATAACTGTCAAAACTGTCTGCCAAGGAGAGATAAGGAAGGGATCTGGCCACTCTAGCTCATTATGCTGTGCCCTGTTTAACTTGAACAGTTCTTCTAGTATTTACCTGCTTGCACTCTAAGTCCTCTGTTGACAGTGACCCTTGGTGTCTCATCACCGACAAGACCTATGATGATATTTAGTATGACAGTGTTACCAAACTCTCCATCTGTCAGATACAGAACGACAGAGTCCTTAGTTGTCTCTCCATCATCATGGCTGTATATGATAACTTGATTCAGAACATCCTGTAAAAAATTTGATAGATTAAAAATTACAGAATTATACAGCTTGCAATTCATTAGACTTTTTTTTATTTTTTTAGCATCAACTTGCTGTAAAGTGGCAGAAAGTATTAGTTGTTTGTCCACTGCTGAACTTTGGTCTTGTTACAAAACATGAGCTTTACATGCACATCCATTTTACAGATCTGGCTTATTAGTATGCAGACTATTGGTTCCTTGCCTCTCAGGCAGATGCACTTTGACCTCAAAGAAAAACTCCTAGTTAGTTGCCTTTTACGACATGCTTGTTGTTGGTGGGGTAGGGGGACGCTAGGTCTATTTCTATTCCTCAAAAGTGGGGCCCTGGAACCCACACTGCAGAATGAATCAAGAAATGTCCACCTTCCTTGGCCTAACTCTACAGAAGGGAAAAATAAAAATAAATTTAAAAAAACATCTTTTTCTTGTTCATCAAATTGTTAAATACGATTTTTCCTCAAGCAAGCCACTTTGCAGATAAAAGTATTTTATATAGAAGAGGAACAGTTAAAGCAACATCAATTTCTGCAGATGTGTTGAAAACAAAAAACATCTTGGAAAGTTTCTCTTTTCAAATATCTGTGGTGAAACAATTGTGATATTTCTGACAGTAAATATTCTACCATCCTAAAACTTTGAACACATCTTGCATCATTTATCAAATTAAATTATTCCTTCCTGTAGCCTCTTACACTGCAACTAAACCTAGAAATACATTTGAAATTCTTGTCACTCAAATATCAAAACAAAATACACAAGTGCTTTTGTGTCGAAATGCCAGTGCATTCATCTCTAATTTATTGTCCTTTAAATCATCAATGAAATCATCTTTCAGTGATTGTGATGATGATGAATTTTAGGAAACAAAACATTTTGTTCTGTGTAACCTGATGTGTTCTAAAGTCTGACACATGATGTGCATGGAAATCTAAAGTTCTGGAGCAAGGCCAAAGTTCAGAAGTGAATGAACAATCAGAACTTTTTTCAGAGTAAGAAAAAAGGAAGAGGAGGAGGAGGAAGAGAAGAAGAAGATGATACAGATGTTCTTTCATGCCATGATGTCAAACTGTCCAACATCCTCTCTCTCTCTCTCTCTCTCTCTCTCCCCCCCCCCCCCCCCCCCCCCTTGCCTTTCTTCCCCTCCCACTTTCCGAATGTCACAAAATATTCCAACTTTATATTGAATGAAACATGGTGCAATGAAGCTGAACTTCTCACATTTAAACACATTTCTTTTTTTTTTTTTTAAAGAATGATTGTCATCATCAAATAAAATCTGAATGACAAGGGTGATTATGCCTCTCCAAAACTTGTGATCTCCAACAGCATGTATCAGTGCTGACCTCCCTACATGCCATGACAATAGGCTGTCAAGACTCTTGTCTCATTGCCTTCCTCTATCTCTCTTTCCACAGATCTTTCTAGTTTTCACAGCATGTTCCAGTTTCTTTCTTCTCATAATGCAATCAAAAATGATGACTGTCTCTTTCTACTGTTTGTGATAAGTTGCCTTCGGGTCCTCTCCTCTTTCAAAACATCTGGATACTAAGTACATTTTAAATATGTAAGTTGTGGAGATCAAGCAGACGGTATCATTGACTCTATTTTGATTAAGAAAAGCAAATTAATTAAATACTATCAAATATAAACATTCCAATCAGGCTGTCAGCCCTTATATATAAAACAAGCCATTTCAGAAAGAAACATTTTTTTATAAAAATAAAATGCTTTACCATTAGGTTCCTTAAAATGCTGACCACATTACCGTACACTAACTCGAAGAAACATGATGTTGATTGTGATGTATAAGAAAACCTGTAAAAAATATTCACCTGATAGGAAAATATTGACTTCTCCAGTAGTAAAGATGCTTCTTCCACTGAATCCTGAATTAACTCTTTTTTTAAAAGATTTCCTTGCATTGGCGTGCTTATAATTGTAAATATGAGATCTTTTGGTGGAGTATCGACATCAACAACATAGATTGTCTGGTTAGTTATTGGGACTGTTTTTCCTTCGCCAACAAACAGCTGCTCTGTCACAGCTTTGGGAGATTCATCATTGATCAACTGGTGAATAGATACGTTCACAAATTGAGTCAATTATCTTTTCGTGTGTGTGTGTGTGTGTTTGTTTGTTGTTGTTGTTGTTGTGTTAAATGCCTTTACTGACTGTATTTACCACTTTTTATGTTGGTCTCCATGGTGAATTGAGGATTTAGGGTCACATGGCAAGCGCAGATGTCCTGAACTGCAAAGATCAGAATATTTATTTTTGCCCAACAGCAAACAAATTTCCATCATCTTACACAAGATTTATACGTAAGTCTCTTGAATGAGAACCATGCTATCTAGCAGCTAAGCCAATCGCTCCTCCCCTAATTAATTTATTGTATTTTCAAGACATTTATGAACCATATTTTTTTTAATCTTTAGATCTTGTAGCATATCCAAAGTTGTTTTTTTCTTGACATCAGTGGAACAGATAGAGCATCTGGATCTTGTGAGATTGATCAAGCGGGGAGTAGGCAAAGGATCTGGTGAACAGGTTAAACCACATTAAGAGGTTACAGAACAATGTCAATAAATAAGCTCAAGAAACAATTTTGAGAACATACATTTTTTTTTGGTGGCACAGTGTAGCAATGAGGCATGGGCCAGTTCACAATCATTCTACTTTTTTCTTCTCTCAGTATCTGCTTATGCCGCTAGGGGTCGCAGTTTATCAGGAAATAAGCAGCCGAGCCAGGGCGCGCTCAGTTGCTTGATATGCAATGATATTATGCAGTCTCAAGGTAATAGTGATTCCTTCAATCCATCTTCTTCTCAGTCTTCCCCAGCTCTTGCTGCTGGCATCGTTGGTTTCATTCTCATTAGATGGCCAAACCATTTCATTCTTTGTTTCACAATAAATTTGTCGATGGGTGTTGTTCCAACAGTTCTTGTGGTCGTTTCTCACTCGATCTCTTCTGGTTTTATTCACAGCCATTCTCAAACATCTCATCTCACAGGTGGTTAGTTTTCTTTCGTGTGTTTTTGTTTTGGGTCAATGTCCAAGTCTGACATCAGTAACCTAAAGTTTGTATAAATATGGTATTCATAATATGTCTTTTTGTCTCTACTGGGATAGCAGGTTGTTTTAAAATTGAAGCAAGTTTGTATGTGACATTGCTGGCTTGCTGGATTCTCGTTTCTATCTCTCCATCTATTTTACAATTGTGTGTATAGATGCTTCCCAAACATTTAAATCACTAACCAATAAAATTTTTGATTTTGAAATCAGGTGACACACAGTAATAGAATTAATGAGAACAAACAGCAATTGTTTGGTCTTGCTTGACAGAGATGAAGTACATGGCAGAATTTAAAAAAAAAAAAAAAAAAAAAATTTATCATTTATACATACTTTTATTGAAATATTGAACATTTCCACTGGTGACCTGTTTTTCCCATCATTTACAGAGAAAAGAAAGGTGTCCTGAGCTGGTTCCTTGTTCTTGTGGTCAGACTGAAGATAGTAGATGCGTCCATCAACCACATCGGCGTATGGAAACTGCAAAGAGTCTGTCTGGCTCTCTGAGCCCTTAGCTGAGAATAGAATTAATTGGCAAAATGAAAATAAACTTCCCTAGAAAAATAAGTAACACCAGTTGTATTAGTATTTTACTGTGTTCAGGGGTGCCAAAACCTGGACACTCAGGCACCAGTAATTTTTAGGGAAAGCTGAGGGCCAAAAAAAACAAACAAAAAATAAAAAGTTTGACCAGGTTCAACCTACTGTTGGCCTAACCAAGTACAGATGCACTCATTTCTTGTTTAAGTATCTGTTTATACGCCCGGCTTTCTAGCATAGTTGGCTAAATCGGACTGCGCGGTGATCGGGTGATGAACTTCTTGTGGTCCGGGTTCATGCCCGGGGGTAGGCAGAAAAGCCACATTTCTCCCAGAATTACGGCATTTATCATGGAATCAAGGCTGAATGATTGCAATATCCATAATACCGAGCCTAAGGGTTAACAACTCATGGCTTCTGGATACTAAAAAAAAAAAAAAATACAGTTCATATTTCTTCCAATGTATTACATTTTTTTGGGGTCATTCAGCATATGTTATCATTATTACACACTAAATAAGGCATAGGTCTCTTAAGCCTTCTGCTAACTAATAATTATAAGAGGACTGAGCTGCCACCACCCTCCGTCCCTCCCACCCCCCCCCCCCCCCCCCCACCCCCCAACCCCAATCCCAAAAAAATTTGTGTTATCTTTGTGTCAGCACCCCTTACTGTGTTAAAATGCATTGGTGTACAAAGATCATTCCTTGTAAGTCTAACATTACACAGCACTGAGGAAGCTTTTCCAGATAATAAATCGGTTTGCCCTTGTTCAACTCCATCACAACACAGCATTTATTGCTTTTAAGCTCAACCCATTAGACAGAAGGGGTTTAAATTTCAACTGCTTGGGACTGAAAGAATTAAACACTGCCATGGATCAGAAAGTACAGGACTGCGTGGTGTGGTTCCTTTTAGAAGAGGTAGTGCTTGATCATCAATGAGACACAATTTTGGAGAGGCACTGAGCATAAAAATAATCCAGGTAAGGGTGTTCAGGCAGTGAATCTCTCTAGTGCGCAGTCGTGTTGAGGTCGACCACGCAAACAATGGATAGATAGTATATCTGAGGCCATATACCCAGGTGCACACCTGATGCCTCTTCAAAACCTGAGACTGAAAGGCAGAACAAAATTAGAGAAGAAAAGGAAGTAGTGTAAATGATGTTATATAAAGGAACAGCAACATTATGGTGACAAATTCATTCAATATCAGTTTGTCAGTGACAACAAAAGTTTAGTTCAAACTCAATACTTCTGCCCATTTGACTGAATGTGATTTATCTACCACAGAAAGAGTGTGACAGCATAAATACTAGCAAGCTTTGGGACAATAGACTACTCTATATATTTTTAAAGCTAATGTAATATGAAAGATAGCCTTCTTCATAGGTTTTCAACATAACTACATTTTAAAAAAAATAAAGTCATGAAATAATTTTATTAAATTTATAATTCTAGTCACGACAAGGAGATATGAGAATACTGTTTAGTTCTAAGAGCAGTTCTTTTCTTTTTGTTTTGCATTCACACTTAAAAGGATGTTTGGCAAACTGTGTTGTAATTTACAGCTAGGCTGCAATATCTGCCCCAGAACCCATACAGAAGTGAGATCAATGCCATACAGAAGTGAGATCAATGCCATACAGAAGTGAGATCAATGCCATACAGAAGTGAGATCAATGCCATACAGAAGTGAGATCAATGCCATACAGAAGTGAGATCAATGCCATACAGAAGTGAGATCAATGCCATACAGAAGTGAGATCAATGCCATACAGAAGTGAGATCAATGCCATACAGAAGTGAGATCAATGCCATACAGAAGTGAGATCAATGCCATACAGAAGTGAGATCAATGCCATACAGAAGTGAGATCAATGCCATACAGAAGTGAGATCAATGCCATACAGAAGTGAGATCAATGCCATACAGAAGTGAGATCAATGCCATACAGAAGTGAGATCAATGCCATACAGAAGTGAGATCAATGAACATGGCTTCAGTCGAGTCAATTTATCGAAACTTGATCTTCTTCTTCGCATTCACCAGCTGTAAACTCCTGCAGATAGTTCTTCTTGTACGTCCACTTCTAGACTGTAGTCATGTTCCAGAACTTGAGTGTTGCATGCACATCCATTTTACAACTTGATGTAGCTTAAAATTTTTACGAAATAACATACTCATATCAATGACAGATTGATATGAAATATCCCTTTTGTAGTCACTGACTAAAGCGTTCACTAGAGGGGAAGAAGAGAAGAAGCAGACCAAGAAAGACCTGGATACAGAACTCGAATGACTGGACAGGCCACAGGCACGCAGGCATGAAGTGAGGTTCATTGGATCTGACCATCAAAGGTGGAGGGCGACCATTAAAGGTGGAGGGCACCAATCAGACAGTCAACAGCACACTGCTGACCCAATGACACGCAGTGTTACATGATGATGATGATGATTATATCTATGAATCAGTACATCACTACACCAGAGTACTGTCATAAATGTGTTACCCATCTTCCTGTTTTGCAGGATTCCAAAATGTGGTGGTGTCTCCACAACAAAAATAACTTGAGATATCGATGAATCTACATCCAGTACAGAAATCATCTGTGTAGTCAGTACTGCTTCTCCACCTTCTTCCACCTGCCAATTGGAAATACAATGAGATAGAGGTGTTGTTTTCAGCACTTAAATTTAAGAAATCATATCTATTCAATTACCATATAATAAACAAATTTTTAATACTTCTTTTTGTAAGAACATCTGAAAATGTGGATATAGTCTTGTTAAAGCAGAGCTGCCATATTTTTACCTTTGACTGCTATGTTAAACTTCTTCCTGGCCGCTTCTGACTAAGTTACTTTTCCCCTACAGTTTTAAAGGACTTTCCACAAATGCAATTTAATGAGGATAATAAATTCCATAACATCCACCAAGGACAAATATGAGTCTTCTACTCTATGCCTGATGGGCCACTGATGTAAAAAATGTCTTTTACTTTAGTTTTACATAGTTAAACAAAACAGTATATGTAACACTTCACCTCCATATGTGCACCAGTGATGAAGGTTGGTGGAAGATTATCCATGGGAAGTATATGTAGTGAGATAATCTGATTAGGAAGAACATTTCCACTTGAGTCACTGATATTCACATACACAAGCTCACTGACAGACTTTAAGCCAAGCTCTGTGTCAGCGATGAAGCTGTCATTAGGACAAAATAATACTTGCATTAATAAACATATCATAATAGGAAAAAACATATTTTTAAATTTCTTAAAGTAATTTTTCCAATTAAGGCACGGACACTCAGCAGATTGGTGAGCAGTTATATGAAAGCTACACTGATGTGGTTCTAAAGAAGACTGGTAAAAGGAAAACACTGTTAGCAGATAAAAGTAAAAATGACAATGTCTTTAAACAAGTTAACTCACAAAGGCATCTGATATTCTGCTATATGGAGGTAGGAGAATCACGGCCCATGGTGATGGCAAGTGTGACAAGCAAGACCTGCCCTGTTAAGAAAAGTATTACAGAATTAGAGTACGGAATTTCAGGGCTGTTGTTGCCATCACCTGTATTTAATGTGCTTCTTCTCAGGCGCTCAGCTCTTGACCTCGCTGCAATCATTTGTTTCCTTTATTCAGGATACTGGTGTCTGGTTACCAGTTTTAGAAACTGACAATACTCATCCTTCGGACAGACAATGAGAAGGTGAAAACTGATGTATGCTGTGACAATAGGAAAGTTCAAGCAGAAGAGAGACAGGAGGAAACCAAGAGAGTATGTTAGATGGTTTGGCATGATGGCATGAATGAACATTTGGATTGGAAACTGTTAGGAATACACAATATTGAAGGTAGTGGATTAATATGGTGACCAATAACCCCAACACCAAGACTACAAGAAGAAGAAAGATAGATTGTATTTATTTCTAAATGTCACATTACAATATAATCTTTCATTTAACAAGATGCCGTTTACAACAACAACAAACAAAACCTAGACAAGACATTTATAAGGCTGATTATACATTTTTAGATAATATTTTATCATATTTTAGTGTTGAGTTGAGTCAAGAATTGACATCACAGCCCTCTGGGCATTCCCATGCATGATCTGTCCTCATCTTTAGCAGCCAGAGCAGAGTTCCAAAACTGACAGTACCGGTCACAATCTGGTTATATGTCCATCTTCCATTTCCTCTGAGTGTAGTGAGCCGGCCAGACCCTCTGGTTACACCCAGGTGCCTTATTCTCTTCAGACCATAATAATCTTGTATTGAAGCTTGCCACTCTGCTCGAAGCAACCCTGTCTTTACCTTTCTCAGCATGCTTTCAGAGTCTTTTACAATTATGACATGTGTATGCATCTTGTTCTCTATTGGCTTTCGCTACGAACCCCCAGGCACTTCTCTTTCCTCTCGACACCGAATCATCTGTATAGATAATCAGATCACCTGGGCTCATGTTTGAGTGAAAAAGGGTAAAAGTTTTAGTCTTAAATAATAAAAATATTGCATTGTAATGTTAAACGCTTCGAAGCATAACGGATTCATTTTTTTCTCTCTATATCCTGTTCACGACACATAGGGCATTTACAAGTGATCTTCACTGCTGCATTTGTGCTTATGTATCCTATATCAGTTTACAGTCCATTTCTTTTTCTGATGTTCTTCTCCTGTTTTTCCTCAAGTTGTTACTGTCTCTTTACTTCATCTGCTGTCCATCAGAGAGCTCTCATTTTATTACCTTGAATTTCATTTGGTATGTACGGCTACTCTCATAACCCTAATCACTCAATCTGTGATGTGGTCAGTATAATGCCTATTGCCTTAATTCCCATAATGCTTCACTGTACCTATAATAGGCGGGTCGACCTGTAAGCAAATGTTAATTTCACAAATTTGGGATTCAAACAAATAAACACAGGGTCAGCAGGCAAGCATTCTAGCCAGTTATAGCTACTGCAGCTCAAAGGTTGGTAGAGTGGAATGGCAAATATAATTTGCAAATTAAAATATCAGGAGGACAGATGATTCTTGAAGATGCTGTGATCACCAGACGGATGCTTTTGAAGCAGCATTGTATTTTTTAGGCTAGAATATGGCCATAATGAAATATACAAAACATTCAAACAATTTTCTTAAGGTAAATATGACCAAACAAGAATCAAGAGACACACCTGACTTTTCCCTCATTGACCTCAGCCTGTGTAAAACTCTCTCCCAATCCAATCTGATAAACTCCTGAACTTCTCTTAACCTGGAAGTGACCTTGACTTGTGTGAGAGGTAAGGGTAATCAGTAAGTGAATATCGGAACTATCAGCATCGGCAAATGCAATTTGTTCTCTGGTAATCATTTCTGTTTCTCCTGGGGAAAACATCAAATTCTGCATCATCACAGTATTAAATTGATCTGTTAAATTAATACTGTAAAATTGTTTTTTGTTTTTTAACTTTCTTAGTCTGAGATAAAAAATATATCCAACAGTTTGCATAATAAATGTTTCTTAAATGATTACAGTCTATGTTATAATCAGCTCTAAACAAGTTAATGTATTGTTCTTTCTGAGTTATAATTTTCTTATAAAGTTTAGGGGTTAATAATAGCCATGGTTTTCAAAGCTATACTGATGTTATAAACAGTAATAAACTTTACAATTTAAAAAAAAATTAATAAGTGGTAATTTTAAAAAGGTAACTTTTAGTATAGGTAACCCACTCCATTCATTTGAAATATCAGTTTCAAATAGTTTTTTTATGCCACAGTTATGTAAAAAAAAAATATGAATAATTAAAGGTAGAGGCAGTCATAGTAGCAAAATGGCTAGATGTCTGGCTGAAGTTCTTTGGACTAAATTCACATTAAGGCAAATTTTTTTTTAATGTTGACATAGGGCTGCTAGGTCAACCAATCCTAAACTGAGTACCAGTGAGTGTTCTTGGAGAGAAGGGAATCTGTGTGAGCTTGCCCATATCATCCATTAAGTTTCGATTTTGATTACAAAAATATGAGTCTATCACCATAAATCATTTGATATTGAAGGATAAAAAAGGGCCCTTTATATAGTATTTTCTTCTTCTTCTTTTCTTTCTTTCTGCCAGTGGTTTTCAGATGGGAAGGCCATATGCCTCTGTGAAGTATGTGGTGTCTTCCACTGTTTCATGCAGCTTGGTTTTCACTGGAAGGCCAAACAGCCAAACCTGGGATCTCTCTACTGCATGTAGACAGCATGTCTGCAGCACATCTTCAGTATTCTGTGGATTCTGTCTACATGGGAAAGTTCTGAATCCCCAGTCTTGAATTTCTTGTAAATTTGGCTGCAGTTTGTCGTGTCCAGTTTGCAGTCTAAATACAATGGTCTGTTTCTTTCATGTGAGGAAGTTGACTGGCTTACGGGGACCACACTTTTTAAGATAAAGAAAATGAAGTAAAAGACTTTATTCATGCCACTAGTGCATTGGTTATATAGTTCTAGAGCCTTATCTCTGTATACTTTTATATGAAGATACAGAAGCTTAAACATCGTAGAAACTATGTGAAAAGAGTTTTTTAAAGGAAACAACATACCTTCAGTGATATTGATCTGGAAAGTTGCTGATGGAAGGATTGTCGGGATGGACTTGTCGAGCTTGATGATGTTAAAATGAATGATGTTCTCACTTTGATGGAGACCATCACTAACAACAAGGCTGATTTCATCTTGTATTGGAGTAGCCCCAGAATGGGTGTACTGCAGTGTGTTGTTGATGATATCACTGTAGTAGAACTTGTCACCTGTAAAATGCCAAGGTAAAACAAAAGATGACATTGCCAAATGAAGATGAGATGACAATGCCTTAAGCAGATGAGATGACACTGCCAAATAAATATGAAATGACACTCTTATACAAAGATAAGATAATACTGCCATATAAAGATGAAATGACACTCTCATACATAGATGAGATGACACTGCCATATGAAGATAAAATGACACTCTCATACAAAGATGATGTGACATTGTCAAATAAACAGGAAATGACACTCTCATACAAAGATCAGATGACACTGCCATATGAAAATGAAATGAGATTCTCAAACAAAGGTGAGATTACACTGCCATATGAAGAAGAAATGACACTCTTATACAAAGATGAGATGATAATGCCATATGAAGGTGAGATGACACTGCCACATGAAGGCAAAATGACACTCATGATAAAGATAAGATGACACTGTCATATGAAAATAAAATGACACTAATAGAAAGATGATGTTACTGCCATACAAAGATTAAATGACACTCTCACACAAAGATGAGATGACACTGCCATATAAAGATGAAATGACACTCTCACACAAAGATGAGATGACACTGCCATATGAAGATGAAATTGCACTCACACACATAGATTGCATGACACTGCCACATGAAGATAAACTGACACTCTCATACAAAGATGAGATTACACTGCCATATGAAAAAGAAATGACACTCTTATACAAAGATGAGATGATAATGCCATATGAAGATGAGATGACACTGCCACATGAAGGTGAAATGACACTCTCATTTTAAAGAGATGACACTGTCAAATGAAAATAAAATAACACTCCCATATAAAGATAAGATGAAATTGCCATATAAAGATGAAATGACACTCTCATACAAAGATGAGAGGACACTGCCATATAAAGATTAAATGACACTCATACAAAGATGAGATTACACCACCATATGAAAATAAAATGACACTTTCATACAAAAATGGGATGACACTGCTATATGAAGATGAAATTACACTAATTCAAAAATAGATGACACTACCATATGAAGATAAAATGACACTCTCATAAAAAAATGAGATGACACTGTCACATGCAGAAAAAATGATACTCTCATACAAAGATATGATGACACTGCCATATTAAGATGAAATGACACTCTCAAAGATGAGAAGACATTGCCATATAAAAAAAAATGAAATGAAACTCTCATACAAAGATGAAATGACATTGCCAAATAAACAGGAAATGACACTCATAGAAAGATGAGATGATACTGCCATATGAAGATGAAATGACACTGACATAAAAAGATTAGATGACTGCCATATGAAAATGGAAATATCATCATCATCATCTTCGAGTGCCTTGCCGACTGTCATTGATGCATCATGCCTGAAACTTATCCGTGCTATTTGTGGACACCCCTCCATTCCATGACAACAGACTGTCAAGAATCTTGTCATATTGTCTTCCTCTGTCTCTTTTCCCACAGATTATCCTAGGGAAAGCATGGGGACAATGCCAAATAAAGATGAAATGGCAAAGGATTTTATTATTACCTTGGGTTGATGGATGATACACAGTGTAAGGATATAAATTAAAGATTTTTTTTACCCCCCCCCCCCCCCCCCTCCCCCCATTAAAGGGTGCACCAGGGTAGTAGGTAGCGTAGTTTATACAGGTGCCTTCATTACTGGAGGTTGATCAGAGAGTATCAGTAATTTGCCCTGATGGATTGCTATCAAGGACATGACTCTAAGTTGTAAAGGAAATGAAACCTTCAGGTAGCCATATGGAGGGGGGTAAACAGACCGACTGAAATTACAAAATGGTGTCTTTAGTTTGAGTTTTTCAGTACAGGAAGGTTGTAATGAGACACCCATTATTATGCATGTTCCAGGGCCACATTTTGGAGCCCAAGGGTGGGTGTGGGGGGGGGGGGGGGGGGGAGATGGGCCCTTCGCCCCTAAAAAAAATATGTAACAAAGCAAATAACTAAGAAATAACTAAGGATTTGCTTCAATTGGATGTGATGTGCTCGAGGGCTCAGATATCGCAGCCTAGCTGTAAACACAACACAGTGTGCCAGCCTTCCTTTTAAAAGTGAACAAACCGACAACAACAACAAAATACTGATAACAGACAAATCATGAGTCCAACACTTTGAAAGACAATGAAAGTGGGAACTCAAAAAGTAACAACCATGTGATGACAACGGGATGTCAAACTTCTCCCATTGCCTTCCCTTTTTATTTATTTCCTTAAACTTTTCCAGTTGTTTATGTGTTTCTTTTCTAGTATTACTGCACACACACAAATGATGACCAACTTTTTATATTTAAGATAAATGTGTGCTTTAGTTTCCAAATACTGTTATTACCCATTGTGGCTGTCCAGGGATCTTTCAGCAGTACTTTAAGCAGTATTTGGTAGAGCCATATATATTAGATAAAGGTAATCCTATACTATACTTACTGCTATTACGACCTGAAGTATGAGGTCTTTACTTATTATATCTCTTGACAAGTAAGATGTGATGTCCAGTTCCTTGCCTCATCACCTTATGCTCCCAGACTCTCCACATAATCTTTTGGTATACTCCTATTTTTTCTTCGTGTTCACCTGACTATAAACTCTGGTGGAAATCTCTGGTTGCTCATACACTGCTGAACTCTAGTCCTCTTTCAGAATCTGGGTGTTGGAGCACATCCGTTTTACAGATCTAGCTTATTTATATGCAGATTGTTGGCTCCATGCCTGTCAGACAAATGTACTCCAAAGAAAATCCCCCAGTTAGTATACTCTTATGACATGCTATTGGATAGATGATCAGTTCTCGTTATGCCTAGTGGCACATGAGGCTTCAGAGAGGACTTTCCATGCTTTCCTGTCCTGTGCAATCTTCAGTGCAGTTTTCCATGTCAAAGATGCCGCACTCAGGTCACTTTCCATCGTTTGTCTTCATGTTGTTTTTGGGCGCCCCTGTTTTCTCTTTCCCTCTGGTGTCCATGTGAGAGCTGTTTTGGCAGGTATATCAGAAGTCATTCTCATAACGTGGCCAAGCCATTTCCATCTTCTCTTGGTAATCATACTGTCTAAAGTTTCTTGGTTTGTGGCTTGAAGTAGTTTAGTGTTTGAGATTGTATCTGGCCAGAAAATTTTGATAATTATATGTAGACATGTGTGGTGGAAGATGGACAGCTTGTGTGCATCCTTTTTAGTCATTCTCCAGCATTACGCTCCATAAAGAAGAACTGGCAAAATGATGCTCTTGTAGAGTCGGAGTTTTGTTCCTCTGCAGTAATTGTTGGATTTCCAGATTTGCCTCATCCTTCCAAAAGCAGCTCTAGCTTTGTTCAGACGTGACTGTATGTCTTCCTCTGTCCCTCCCAGTAGGGACACCACACTGCCAAGATATGTGAAATGTTCTACATTTTCAAGTGATTGGTTACTTATGGTCACTGGTTGTTGGTTTGGACTGTTTGTCATGATCTTAGTTTTCTTTGTATTTATTCTGTCCCACCATTTCTGCTGTGCAGTTTAGTCTGTTACTTTTCTCTTGTAAATGTTCATGTTTATGTGATAGGAGTGCTATATCATCTGCAAAATCAAGGTCCTCAAGCATGGTGAATGGAGTCCATCGTATGCCTCTTAACGTCCTGTCTACTGTGTTCTTTAGTATCCAATCAATCACAAGGTTGAAGAGGAGAGATGACATAACACATCCCTGTCTTACACCCGTCTTTACTGGGAAAGATGTATTGTAATATTTTATACTGCAGGAAAAGACTTTATAGAAGAGAGCAATTATGTTGACTATTTTTTCTGGAATTCCATAATGTCGTAAAATTTTCCACAGACTGTCTCTATGGAGGCTGTCAAAAGCTATCTCAAAGTCCACAAAATTAATATATATACTTCTCTGCCATTCGTTGCATTGTTCTAAAATGTTACGTATGGCCAAGATGTGCTCAGTTGTTCCTCTGCCCTTTCTGAATCCTGCTTGTTCCACTCGTAGGCATTTATCTACTCCTTTTTAAAGCCGCATTATGATGATTTTACAAAATATTTTGCTTGGTACTGAGAGTAGAGTAATTCCCCTCCAATTATTGCAGTCTGTTAAGTCTCCTTTTTTGTGGATTTTGACTATTGTTCCTTCAGTCCAGTCATCAGGCAACACTTCTTTTTCCCAAATATCCTTGAACAATGGTTCTAGAATGCTAGCAGTTGTGTTGGGATCTACTTTTAGAAGTTCTGCTGGCAGTTCGTCTTTGCCTGGTGCTTTGTTGTTCTTTAAAGTGTGGATAGCTTTAAGGATTTCTTGTTTGCTTGGTGGTTCAGTAATAATGTCAATGTCCTGAGAGGCTGGTTGAATATCTGAGTGATTTTCAGGATCAGGTCTGTTCAAGAGGTATTGGATAGGCAATGGCTTTATTCTTGCTTCCCCCAACCATGACACGGACATTTTTTATGTATTTGATACTTTTGTTTTCCAAACGGCACGAGAAAAAAAAATTCGTGTATGTTGGATAATTTACAATAACACAAAATATGAACGATTTACCATAACTGTTGACTGTATCTTACCACTGTTTACAACAGCTTTTGTCCCGTCCCTCAGTTTTTCCAGCACGCCATTGTTCGGCGTTTTCTTAATAATTATCTCCAAGTCTTCGAGCTTGTTATCTGGGTCAGACACCTCCAGTAGACTGGCGGACAGTGAGTATGTACCGCCTGTTGACATGGTGACCTCTGGGTCAGGGTTGAGGAAGAAAGCTGGATTATTGTTCACTGGCAGGATTCTGATGGTGAACTTGTACTCAGGTGACCACCTCATCTCTCTACCACTGCTCACTGGGTCATAAAATATGATTGTGTATGTTTTAATTATTCGGTGAGGTAAATCAAACGATTACAATTAAAGTAAACACAGGAACGAAACTCAGAGGTATAGGAATGGTTGGGAGAGGGGAGAGGCGAACATACAATAATTTTTTAACAAAATAAGAAAATAAACAGAGTAGATTAATTCAGTTTAGAAGGGAAAAGTGTATGTTATTAACATTACAACCGAGACACGTAAACGGGTGTTCTTCATAGGCACTGGAATCTTAAGGCTGGAGCTCAGGCAATTGAAGCCCCCTTACCCATAAACAAATCTTGGGGGTAGCGGTGAGGGGCCTCAACCCCCTTTACCCTTTTCACCCGTTTCTTTGTGGTGGCACTAATTGTGTTCTTGTCTTCTCCACAGTAACTGTGCCATTCCGAAGTTGACCGACAAGCCTCCTGACCTACTTTCTGACCACTTACGGGTATGCATACCATGGAAAGTCGATGATCTTGTAATGAGCAATGAATATTTTGGCCACTGATATTCATCTCCAACGCTTGATTTCTAACTTCTTCTTCTTCTTCTTCACTTCCTCTTTTACCGCTGTGGGTTTCTAGCTCTTCTGGCTGCCTCGACCATAGGCACATCGTGCTGTTGTAGAGTTTCTCTGATGTTATCCTTCCATCTTGTTCTTGGTCTACCCCGTGCTCTACGTCCTTCTTCTCTTTCCATGTATGCTTTGTATGGTATGGTGTCACAAGGCATTCTCTCTAAGTGGGCAAACCATTTCACTTGCTGTCTTTGTATGTAATCCGGAATTGGTTCTGTGCCGACTTGTTCTCTTATTATCTCATTCCTGATCTTATCTCTTATGGTCACTCCTACAGCCCTTCTCAGACATCTCATTTCCGTGTTACTAATTTTCTTTTATGGTTTGTTGTGAGTGACCATGTCTGGCACTGGTAGCACAGAGTTGGAATAAATATGCTTTGAATAAGATGTCTCTTTGTACTGATTGGGATTGTCTTATGCTGTAAAAGGGGGGCTAGCTGTCCCAATACTTGGTTTGCTTTACTGCATCTAATGTCAATTTCTGTATCCAATTTCCCATCTTCGGTAAATGTAGTTCCCAGATATTTAAACTCAGATGCCTGTTTAATGTCTTTGTATTCTATTGCTATGTTTAGATCTGTCTTCTTTTTTCCTATTGACATTACTTCTGTCTTTTCAGTGTTGATTCTCATATTATTTGTTTTACATTCTTCATTCATGGATGTTAGATGTTGTTCTAACTTCTGGTGCTGTTAAAAGTCATCATTTAGTCTGTAAACTTTAAAGAGACTTCTGATGTCGACCCATTCCACTGGTTTGCCGTCTGGTTTGTCGTCTGATATAGGCATCAATGGCCGGCCAGTTTACCCTCTCTTTCTCATGGAAAGTAAAGGCGACTGTCGTATTATTGACAAGATAACTAAACGAGCACCGATGAGCATAGAAAAAAAAACATGTTACCAACATAATGTCCTCAATATGTCAAAAACCCTTAGCAACGGGACTTTTAATTTTATTTTTGATATATATTTACTTTCAGTTTTGGCATTGCAAACGCAGTTTCTAATGCCGAGATACCCGGTTCAGTTCTTCAAGCTAGGGACAATTTGGTAGGAAGCTGCTTTGCAGTGGTTTCAACAATGATTCGAAAACCGACGTTCAGTGCAATGGCAAACTACTGAATGTAAAATTGTCAAATAAATCACAATCAGTCAAAACAATGCTGGCGTTAGTTTACAACTTCCTGTAAAGGATACACAACCATGTATAATTTTGCCAAACAAATAAGATAAAGACTAGAGGAGTGGCTGGTCGAACTGTTAGACCGCTGGGTTCTCTTGCGGGAGACCTGGGTTCGAATCATCGGTAAGGCTGCGGATTTTTTTCTGCCGGGGGAAAAACAAAATCCTCACCTGCACAGTCGTGGCGACAGCACTAGCAAAGCGGCCCTAAATCCTCAGGCTCAAAAGACCCCCTGCCTACACCGCAGAAGTGGTAATAAAGGCAGTAATTCGGAATAAGATAAAGGCTACTGGTATTTTGGAGCTTGTTAACAGAAGAGTTGGAATGCAGAAATTAACTTTATGTGAGATCATACTGGGTAACAAATGCAAAGGAAAGCAAAGAACTGTCTGTAGGAACAGCTAGAACAGATAATAAGAGGTTTGAACAACGGATCAACATCATGGCACACGGGTAGTAACCCATAAGTGCTCCGTTCTTCTTCTAACTTAAGTCCGAGTCTGAAGAAGCTCAGCGCAGTACACAGGCTCTGTAACACCGGCGAGGATGCTGAATTACTTTGGGTAGATTTTTAACTCTAAATTTTGACCGGGCAGCGCCGTTAATCTACTCTTTTCGGTTTCCAACTGCCAAGGGATTTTTTAAGTGCGCAGCAATGCACACGGGCGTCCGATCTCACTACCCAGAGACTAGGGGGAATTACTAGAAGTCAAAGTCCAAAATCCCAGATCTTACCAGGGATTGAACCCGGAACATCTAGCACTCGAGGCGGACATCATACCTCGAGACCATACCGCACCCCAGAACAAGTGTCAACAGTAGAAAAGAAAGTGCATGGTGGTGGTGAAGATTATGATGATAATGATGACGTTATTTAGCCAGGACTATCTCAGTGATGACTCACCTACAAAGATGAAGCTGACTTCCCGCTCCTCCTCACCAATGTCCTCATCCGGGGGTCGGTAGATCACCTGTCTGTTGTTGATGTCGGCTTGTGTGAACTGTTGCAGCGGACTATATGGGACATCAACGTGCTCAACTGTGCCTTCATCTTCCTCTCTGAGCGGAGAGACGATAGTGTATACCAGATTTTCTGGTGGTGAATTTATGTCGCTGAATGCCAGGTGGCCATTTGTTATTGGAGCGATCTGGTTTTCCATTACCTTCGAAAAAGTATGGTGATTATAGAGAAGTGGCTTAGTTATATTAGGTGGCGCGGTGGTCATTAATGGGTGCATAAGCTGTGTGGGACATTGTGGGGTCACTTAGAGTGGTTCGTCAGTTGTGTGGTGCAGTGCGATATTCATTTAACAGGAAGTGAATTAAAATGTGGGGCAATGAGGTGGTCATTTAGACAGACGCATTTGTTGTGCGGTGCAGTGAGATGTTCATTAAGAGGATGTGTGTTTACTGCGCCATAGTCATTAAAATGATGCGAATTAGCGGAATGGAGCAGTGCGGTGGTCATTAAGAGAAGGTGCTTTGGCTGTGTGGAGCAGTGTAGTATTAAGAGCAGCTGTGTTAACTGTGTGGGCAGTGCGATAATGATTGAAAGGAGGTCAGTTAGTTGTCTGAGACAGCTAATTCTATAAAATATCTCAAAACTCTGATGTGTCTATCGGCAGGTAACAGTCGGCACAATGTCAATGAAGGCTTCGAGGGTTTTCCGTTGATTTATACCACCATATTCTTTCATGGACACTAAGGGGAATCTCTACTGAAGTGGTAATTCGTCTGTGGATTAGACGCCTTGAAAGCAATTTCATATTCTCCCCCAGAGGCCATTACCCTGTAGTGGTGGGGGAGCTTGAGAGCCTCAATGATCTAATGAGCTATGCCGGCGGGAACGTATGTTCCTTGCAGGGTCACCCAAGCCGGACAGGTCATTTGTGAGGGGCCAGACTAAAGATGGCCTCCCGGTCCTCCAGGCTCGGGAGTTGGGCGCAGTGTTGACAGCTCTGCCCTGTAAAAAAATCTACAATGTTACTGAAACTTCAAGAGGAAAAAAGTGCTCTAAACGTCCGGTGGTCTTGGGACAGAGTCCCTCTGTCAGCATGAACAACATGGGTCAAAGCCGAAAGGAAGCCCATGATGGGAAAACAAGTCTGCTGGATGTCAAAACCAAATTAAGAATTGGCTTCTGGAATGTAAGAACCATGTTTAAAACGGCCAAAACCGCCCAAGTAGTTAAAGAAATGCAGAACTATAAACTGCAAATTCTTGGAATTAGTGAAAGCAGGTGGATAGGGTTTGGACAATCCACAACAGGTACAGAAGAAACCATAATAAACTCTGGAAGAGATGATAACCTACATTCTGCAGGCGTGGTACTTATTTTAAAGAAAGGTATACACAAACATCTCATCGAGTGGCATCCAATCAGTGAAAGAATAATGACAGCACGATTCAATGGCAAACATGCTAAACTTACAGTCATCCAATGCTACGCACCGACTAATGAAGCTGAAGATGAAGATAAAGAAACATTCTATAGGAGACTGCAAGAGGTAGTAGATAAAGTACTATGCATTATAGGAGATCTCAATGCAAAAGTTGGTAACAACAACTTGAATAGAGAACTATCAATGGGAAATCAAGGATGTGGTACAACTAATGACAACGGGTAAAGACTGAGCGACTTCTGCACGGCGAATAGACTTGTTATAGGAGGAACACTATTTCCTAACAAGAATATACACAAGCTTACATGGATATCCCCAAACAGAAGAGATGTAAACCAGATCGACCATTTCATTGTAAACAGAAAATGGCGTGGGTCCCTACTCGATGTGCGTGTCAAAAGGGGAGCAGATGTGGGAAGCGATCATCACCTTGTAGTCGCTCTACTACAATTTAAACTCAAAAAAGTTTACACGCAAGTTAAGACACAGACAACACGTTACAATGTTAACCTTTTAAGAGAAAAAGACATTGCCACTAAATTTATAGTAGAACTCAAGAATAGATTTCAAACCCTATCAAGTGACCCAGAAACTCCAACTACAATCAGCATTCAAGACAGATGGAACCAGATCAAAGAAACATACAAATAACATATTAGGAACCAGGAAACAACACCACAAAGAATGGATAAGTAGTCAAACCATGGATTATATTGCCAAGCGAAAAAGAATAAAGAGCCTCATAAATCACACTAAATCAGATCGTCAGAAAGACAAACTAATGTTAGAATATAGCGAACTAAATAAAATGACCAAGAAAAGTGCTAGAGCTGACAAGAGAAGATTTATGGAAAATCTTGCAGAAACAGCAGAAAATGCTGCTAAAGCACATGATCTACAAACCCTACACAGAATTACCCAGCAAATTTGCGGAAACAGAAACTATTATCACAGCATACCCATCAGAGATAACCAAGGCAGACTGCTCACCACAGAACAAAAACAAGACATGCAGTGGACTAAACACTTCTCCGACCTCTTGAACAGACCTGATCCTGAAAATCCCCCAGATATTCAACCAGCCTCTCAGGACATTTACATTATTACTGAACCACCAAGCAAACAATAAATCCTTAAAGTTATATACACTTTAAAGAAGAGCAAAGCACCAGGCAAAGACGAACAGCCAGCAGAACTTCTCAAAGTAGATCCCAACACAACTGCTAGCATTCTAGAACCATTGTTCGAGCACGACCGGCTCTAGCTGGAGCCGGTCGTGGTTCGAGGATATTTGGGAAAAAGAAGTGTTGCCTGATGACTGGACTGAAGAAACAATAGTCCAAATTCCCAAAAAAGGAGACTTAACAGACTGCAATAATTGGAGGGGAATTACTCTACTCTCAATACCAAGCAAAATATTTTGTAAAATCATCATAATGCGGCTTGAAAAAGGAGTAGATAAATGCCTACGAATGGAACAAGCAGGATTCAGAAAGGGCAGAGGAACAGAGCACATCTTCGCCATACGTAACATTTTAGAACAATGCAACGAATGGCAGAGAAGTATATATATCAATTTTGTGGACTTTGAGAAAGCTTTTGACAGCGTCCATAGAGACGGTATGTGGAAAATTTTACGACATTATGGAATTCCAGAAAAAATAGTCAACATAATTGCTCTCTTCTATAAAGACTTTTCCTGCAGTATAAAAAATTACAATACATCTTTCCCAGTAAAGACGGGTGTAAGACAGGCATGTGTTATGTCATCTCTCCTCTTCAACCTTGTGATTGATTGGATACTAAAGAACACAGTAGACAGGACATTAAGAGGCATACGATGGACTCCATTCACCATGCTTGAGGACCTTGATTTTGCAGATGATATAGCACTCCTATCACATAAACATGAACATATACAAGAGAAAAGTAACAGACTAAACTGCACAGCAGAAATGGTGGGACTGAGAATAAATATAAAGAAAACTAAGATCATGACAAACAGTCCAAACCAACAACCAGTGACCATAAGTAAACAATCACTTGAAAATGTAGAACATTTCACATATCTTGGCAGTGTGGTGTCCCTACTGGGAGGGACAGAGGAAGACATACAGTCACGTCTGAACAAAGCTAGAGCTGCTTTTGGAAGGATGAGGCAAATCTGGAATTCCAACAATTACTGCGGAGGAACGAAACTCCGACTCTACAAGAGCATCATTTTACCAGTTCTTCTATATGGAGCGGAATGCTGGAGAATGACCAAAAAGGATGCACACAAGCTGTCCACCTTCCACCACACATGTCTACGTAGAATTATCAAAATTTTCTGGCCAGATACAATCTCAAACACTAAACTACTTCAAGCCACAAACCAAGAAACTTTAGACAGTATGATTACCAAAAGAAGATGGAAATGGCTTGGCCACGTTATGAGAATGACTTTTGATATACCTGCCAATACAGCTCTCACATGGACACCAGAGGGAAAGAGAAAACAGGGGCGCCCAAAAACAACATGGAGACGAACGATGGAAGTGACCTGAGTGCGGCATCTTTGACATGGAAAACTGCACTGAAGATTGCACAGGACAGGAAAGCATGGAAAGTCCTCTCTGAAGCCCCATGTGCCACTAGGCATAACGAAAACTGATGATGATGATTAAAGCAATTTCATAACTGGAATATTCCAGGTTCAATTTAGCTGCATGTGATTTGGCAGCAGACCTTGCTGGGTTGTTTTCTACATCTTTATGAGCTTTTACTGATTAGAAAGCAATGGTAAATAATAAAAAATATAAAATTGTCTAATTAAATCACAAGCAGCCAACAAAGGCTTAGTTTGGTTTGTGACGTCATTTAAAGGATATACAAGCATCGTTTATCTAATTATTATAAATTCATATATAGAATGAATATTTTAGGATTATTGTAGGTAAACAACTGTTTTACTTGAGATGTGCCTATCCATAATGTTTGAACTGGCACACAGTTTTACGTGTTCATAAAACAATTTAAAGCCTGCAAAAAAAAATTGGTTGAATTGCCAGAGATTTTGAGTGATGATAAACTAACTGAAACTTGCACAAATCGGTAGAACTAGCAAATAACTGTATCAGTTAATAAAACTATACGAGGCATTCAGAAATTGGCTGAACTAGCAAACAATTTTAAATGATGATAAAAAAGCTGTGGTCTGCTAAAATCGAACACAATAATACTTAACTGTAAGTCCCAGTTTTGTCCCAGGAACAATTACTGGGTAAACAATAGCCGACGTATTATCGTCTGTGATCGTTATATCAAACGCTTGATCCCTCAAAATATTGTGAGGACTGGAGGTGTCAGCAACCTTGAGCAATTTATGAATACACCGTAAATGTGCATACTTAACGGGAAAAGTGTTTAAATAATATAAGAAACAATCAGTTAATAGTAAACAAAGTTACATACATATAAATTTTTTTAACTGTACATAAAGAGGTTCAAGGTGTTCTAATATTAAAAGAAACAATCGACTATTTGTAAATTAAGACAAGGAAATTGTTTCAATTTGAGAACAAAAATTCGTTGAGTACGTCAAATATGAACATATAAAAGAGCAAAATGAATAAATACCTAAAATTTGAATCTTTCATAACTCAAAGACGAGTAAATGCCTCAGTTGTACATCTATAAGAAAGCAACGATAGGCGAATACTTCAAATACAGTCTGTCAATCTCAAATGTGAATCTATCATAGAGCAAAGACGAGTCTTTATTCTTTGCATCCACCGACTGTTAACTCCAGCAGAAAGTTCTGATTGTTCGACCTCTTATGGACTTTGGTCTTGTTCTACAACTAGAGCTTTGCGTGCACATCCGTTTTATGGATCTGGCTTCTTTGTATACAGACTGCTGGTTCATCTCCTCTCGGACAGATACACTCCGACTTCCAAGGAAATACACCTAATTAATCACATTTTACGACATGCTTGTTAGGAAGCAGTGGGTCTGTTCTCCACCGCCTCCTTCCACCCCGCTGACCCAAAAATTGGGGCCCTGGAACCCACACGAGAGCAAAGATGAGTGAAAACGTCAAAAATGAATCTGTCAAATATCAGTAAATATCTCAGATGAGATTCTGTAAAAGAGCAAAGATGAATAATACATCAAATGTGAATCAGTCAGAGAGCAGAGATGACCGAACACCCCAAGATGTGAACATGTCATTGAACAAAGATCAGTGAGTACCTCAAATGTGAACCTGTCTGAAAGCAGATCTGTTCCAGAATGTTTATAGTAAATCCTGCCCTCGTCGATGTCTCGCTGATGAAACCTTACAGTTCTCGAGGCCATCATCCCATCTCCCATCATTGTCCACCCAGAGCCAGGACCGTCAACTGGTGTTGGCACCATCATCATGATGTACCCTGGAAAGAGAACAAACTAGAAAACCGTTGTCACAACCGTCCTGGATTCAGGCATTAGCTCAGCTAGAGCTTAGTGCCGCACAATCTGTACGGGCCTCACAAAATTCCCCCCTTCCACACCTCCAGTGTAATTTTCTTGTAGTATATATATACTATATATATATATATATATATATATATATATATATATATATATATATATATATATATATATATATGCGCGCGTTGTGTGTGTTTTTTTGAATTCCCCAGAAATTTTCCAGTTTTATTAATATTATTTTGGGTATATAATCTCAGGCTTGTGTTCATTCCTACTTGATGTAGCCTTTTTAAAGTGGCTTCATATGTGCTAACTTCCACCTTTTATTAACATTTATATTTTAAAGTTGTCTGACATTAAGTAGTGTAATTTAAAATAATAGAGGCCTCGGGGTTTTATATATCTTGGGGCCTTACCAAGTCTAAATCAGACTCAGGTCATAAACATGTAAATCCAATGTTAACAAGACTTGGAACAACAGTTATACGCATTCCGAATAACTTCCTGAAAGCACTAGTCCATACTTCATGGTTTATAGTTCATCTTAGAGATAATCTTCATCGCACATCGGACATGACCATAAGGGCTCCAATCTCCTCCTGGGTATGTCTCTAAGTGTTTTTAGGCTAACAACTGCCATTCTGTTCTAAGAAAGCACTAATGAACATTAAAAGGCAGAGAGTCCAGAAAAGCGAAGAAATAAGAAAAATGTCTAGGCAACGGCTGGTATCAACGGTTATAAGACCCAGAAGATGCCGATATACTGGGCACATCCTGCGAGGAAGACAAGAATCATTAAAACAGGCACTTCTTCTTCTTCTTCGTTCACCGCCTGTGAATTCCGGCGGAAGGTCCCGGTTAATCGTCCGCTTGGACTTTTGGCTTTTACCTGGACCTGAGTTTTGCGTGTACAACCGTTTTGATGTTCCCTGCCCCGCGCGCAGATGTACTCCGACTTCGAGGGAAAAACAGGCACTAAAATGGGAATTAAGTGGATTGGGGAAAGGATGGATTCCAAAAAATACCCATACGACTAACGATGGCGAGAGGGGCTTAACTACGGGATGGAATTCCATCCGTAATCTCGAAACAGTTTCATAAATATAACTGAGTGGAGGCATACATCGTAAGTTTTATGTGACATATAAATGGTGGCACAAGAGGATGATGATATACCATATACACAACGGGTATTGGTCAAGACAAAAAACTAAAATGGATAATCACAACAAAAATCATCTGTTAGTTGAGGTTCCAACATCGCTGCTAACTGGTCGACCCATAACTGCTCCGGTCAAGTGCCAGCTGAAATCAACATTATTCTTCGTCATTCCCCCATGCGGGATACAATTTTTCGTTATTTTAAAGCCCCACCCTGGCTGTTGCCATGGGCCGAAATATAACCTGACGGTTGGACGGGGTTTCCGGGACCTCTCCACGGGTGATTCTCATTCGCATGGTGGCACTTTGTGTCACCTGGTGTTTATCGCTCTGTGTGATGTCCTAGTGGGGTAAAATTTACTGACTTACTTACACACAACGTTTTTAACTGTCCCATTTGAAAACTAGCGACAAAATAAGCTCCTATTCAAGTTGTCAAGCTTGCACACGCAAAGTAAAAATGCATAAGGCAATAACAATTAATCCTGTGTGATTTTGATGCAGACAAATAGTTTACAATAGAGTACTGGGTGGTGCTAACTAAAGAAAACATGAAAGACAGATTACAGCAGGTTAGCTCACCGTGTTTGGGGTTGTCTCTCAGAGGTACCAATGTATAAACGGCATCCTTCACTTTTGAGTTCTGTGGGTCTTGAACTTCAGACTTCAAAAGTTCAGGGGAAATTCGAAGAGTGTCTCCCTTGTGTAGCGAACCTCCAGTATTGGTCATCACAACAGGTGCTCTTGTTTTCTAGCGTTTCAATTACATAAATAATATCTCTTTAAAGACACGATACAAAAGGCGACTAAAGGTGTAGAGGTTAGTGAAATCGTTTCATAATACAATTCCCCACGACTACCATAGTTCGATACCTGCTGCAGACGGTTTGGATTTATTGGTACGAGGATCGTACATTAAAAGAGACCGGGGCCTTAACAGGTAATATTCCCATAGTATGCAGTGGGTTCGTTGCTGCCAACCTCCACTGTGGACACAGCGGTACTTTTTCTACAGAGGTTGTTTGCCGTGAGGTCGGCTCAGATCATCAATTTTAGCTGCACAATATAACAACTTGTGGACACTACAAGGGCTTAGTAAATCTGGGCTTAGACTTATATGTTTACAACTAAAGAGATAGAATCATTTATAAGCGTGGCTGGAGTGAAATGAAAATCATCAAAACATAAATTAACTGAAGTGTAACTAGTAATAACTACTGCAGCCACAATAGCTAACAAAACAGACTCTATCCTAAAAAGACCTGATGTGAAATCAAGAAGACGCAATGAGAAGATGGACTGATAACATTACAAACACTATACATCCACACAAAATGTCAAAAGACAGTGCTGCCAATTGAACAATGGATCGCAAACTGTTCCATACCCACGTCATTTAATGGTTAGTTAGTTAATTAGTTGCGTATTCTTTTCAGGACGTTGCAGAACCAACACCAGCATTTTTTGGCTGTTGCGATCTTTTAAAAGCAAATTTGCGTCCAGTAGTCTGCCATTACTACCTGGATGTTCGGCTATATATACCACCGTCGAAACCAACGCAAGGCACAATGCCTGCAGCTGGGATCGAACCCGGCACCCCTTCATTACGAAGAGTGTTCCCAAAGCCTAAGCCACAGGTGCCAGTTAACGGTAAATGCGGAAATTTATGGCAGTGGTCTTAGTCTGAACGGCAGAAAAACAGAAGTAAAGGTTATTAAAAAGAAAACTGAACCTCCAAAATGCAACATCAAAATAATTGGGACAAATCTCAAGCAAGTTTATATGTTTAAGTACTTAGGCACCCTGAAAACAAAGAGAATTCTTAAAAGATACATAAATCCTACATTGACATACGAAAGTGAATCACGGACAGTTGATAAATTAGTGAAAACGTATTTGAAAGCTTCTGAAATGTGGTTTTATAAACGAATGATGAGAATACCCTTGACAGATTTAAAAAAAAAAAAAAAAGTAATGAAGACGTCTTGAAAAAAACTGACTAACGAAGAGTAATTGATAGCCCACATCAGAAAAAGACACCCACATCAGAAAAAGGCAATCTACATTCTTTGGTCATGTAGCGAGAAGGAGAAAATTTGAGAACATCGTGACAGTAGGAAAGTTGGAGGGGAGGCGAGGCAGAGAGAGACCAAGAGAGAACAGATGCTGGAAAGTTTGACATGGAGGATCATCTGTATCAGCGTTGATTGAAAATACAAGAGACAGAAGGTTGTTAATAGACATGACTACCAACGCAACACGAACTTGACTTTAAGAAGAAGACGATGATAATAAAAATAATGATTATGGTGTTGATGATGGCGATGCAAATAAGGAATAACTAATTAAAATCTTATTACCTCTTCCCTTTCTTGTTCCGCGTTCGCCCTTCCGGAAGTCGCTTGCATTCTGTTTTGTGATTTACAGCTTTAATGTGATATCTGCGCCTTTCGGCTCAAAACATTTGATTTTAGCAAGCTATTAATTAGTCGCATTTTAAAACATGCTTGCTATGACGGTGAGTGGAGGAGAGGAAGCGGGTCAACTTCTTTTTTCCTCCCAGAATTGAACGCCGGAACCCACACGGGGATTCGCAGAAATATGATAATAGGGATAGCGATGAAAATGATTTACCTTTGAACTGCACAATGATTTACCTGGGACTGCACCTTGATAGCCAATAGAACTGTAATTCTGTTGTGCGTGTCTGCAACTTGCAGTCTTGCCAGGTCTCCGGCCACGCTGCTATTGCCATGATGTTTATAAGCAATGTTTCCCGCCATCAGATCTTGTAGTAGAAACTCGCGAACAGTCGACTCCTCCTTCTCCGGTGCAACAAGGTGGCCATAGAGTGGACCTGTAGAGTCATGTAACGATCGTTTGAATCTTTTCTTCCAGTAGATTTATACAACAGATTTAGATCTTAGGTTATTAACTGGTTGGCTACTGGCTGATTGGTTGGATGTCTGGTTACTTGAATAGTCGATTGGATGTTGGTTGGTTAGTTTGTTGATTCGTTCGTTTATTTACTCATTTGTTTTTAGCTGCGTTGGTTGGTTAGTTTGCATACTGCCTGACTGGCTCGCTAGTTGGTTGGTTCGTTGGTTGGTTGGTTGGCTGGCTGATTGATTAGATGGCTGGTGGTTGTGATTATCTGGCAGACTGAGATTTAACGCTTGAGTCATTTGTATTGACCTGTTGTTTACCCTGAGTGACCTGCATCTATCAGAGAGACATTGTTGTAGAAAATTTTCTCTCGACTTTCCACAGAAACTGTCTTTCACAGCTCTTCAACTCTCCACGCCCAACAGTGTGTGCATAAATGGTACTGTAACTTTCCGTCTACTGAGAAGTATTGGAATATAAACAGGTCGTGATTTAGCACGACAAACACAAACTGGAAAGAATTATGTCTAGGTTGGTCTCGTTTATGTTTTTTTTTTTTTTCGTGAGTTTTGGTGTCTTCATTGTCAACAGACTGCATACCCTTATCCGTGGGTCGAGATTAGAGTATCATAAAATCATAAATGTATTGAATGTTGAGAGAGAGAGAGAGAGAGAGAGAGAGAGAGAGAGAGAGAGAGAGAGAGAGAGAGAGAGAGAGAGAGAGAGATGCTTCCGATGCAATGTGGTGGGTAGGCATCTTGCTGTTTTTAGTAGCAGCAAATTTTTTACTTCTGGCTACAGTAAGCCGATGCATTTTCCCCCATATGCGGACTGAGTTTACGTTTACGTGGCCCATATACAGCTTAGTGCATAGCGCGACACCGGAAATCATGGACTTCATTTGGAATGCTTTTCGGCTGAGCCCAATGTGGTTGTGATGTGAACTGCAGATTCATTGACAACATGTAGCAAGTATTTTTACAGAAAGCCACAACACAACCAGCACTTAAAGTAGCCCCGAGATGGCTTGATCCTAAAAGCTTCAGCATTCACCGAAGTGATATTGATCTAGAAACTCATTAGAGACTCGGTACCAAAGTATACTTTCGCAAAGAACTGTTTCTTAGCCCAATTACCAGCAAGTTTGAAAGTGCAATCCTCGAACTTTACATGTGCTAAGAGACGAATCGGAATCTAACTAGGTCGTGATTTGGACCCGCTTGTTTGCAGATTTGCATTCTGTAGATTAACATCCTACAGATGAGAATCAATCAGCTGCAAATCTAGGAAACCCCGTTCAATCATAAAGCCATAGAGCACAGTTACACTGTGGCACCACGAAATGGTTACGAAGTCACATGTATTCCAATGAGTGGGGTGTGTGGTTATTTAACTGGCTGAGATAGGCTTAGGTTGATCAGGTTTCCTCACAAGTTAATTTCACTGTCAGTAGACTCGAGCCCAGAGGTTCCGACACAAAGAAAACAAGTGGAATTATGGGTCCATTGCAATTCTCTAGCAGTGATGATTTTTTTTTTTTTTTTGAGCACTGCTGTATTAAACATTTTTGGTGATTATCGGCACCTTTTTTAAAGACTGTGGTGACTACGAAACCTTTTTTTTTTTCAAGGGAAAAAGAGCCGATAGTAATATTATTGTGCCAAATAGGAAATAAATATAACAATATTTTAAAACGATAGGGTATTTTAAATATACACTTAAAGAGATAACTTCTACACACGATCTGAGGGGAAAGAGGGGGGGGGGGGGAGGGGTTGGCCCTCGTAAAAATTTAGGTTGGACTAGCGTCCCCTTTAAAATTAAAAAAAAGAGTTGCGGGGGTGGGGGGGGGGGGAGAGAGTTCAGCTTTACTGAGCTCTCGGGTTTGGCACCCTTGCTTTTACTCAGCGTCTATAGCTAAACAGTCTTTGTATAATTCTCCCAGTCAAGCAAAGTTATATTATGCATCAATATCTCACCATCAAGGACAGAGAATACCACATTCTCTGGACTATCATCTGTGCTGACATCAAGAACACTGGTAGTTAACCGGGTGATCTCCCCTGCGGAAGCTAACAGAGGCTTGTTGGCCATTAAGGAAAGGGCTGCTGGTGGTGGCTGGACATGGCTACCGTCTGCTAGGAGTGGGCTGTCTGAATGCTTACCGTGGGCGTCTGCTGCTGTCGTAAATTACAATAAAATATGTAGAAATTTAATTTTTGAGAAATGTCATATAATTAACTGTGTGTAAATACGTAATTTTGCAACTGAAGTACATTTGTTATAATTAAAAAGAACAGCAATGGAGGGCTTGGTACCCGGACAGAGAGGCAGGGACCGACCAACACAAAGGTGAGGTGGGCACGAAACATAAAAGACAAATTAGTCAAGAAAGTACATGAGGCGGGAGGGCTGGTGACGGACCCCAAAAATGGCAGGTGAGGGGGGGGGGGGGTTGTACTGATAGGAGCAACGTTCTGCAAGGGGCCTGCTACTATCTTTTTCCCCTAATGGATTAAACAATACAATACGACCTAATGTAAGCAACGCTTTGGAAACGTAAACTAGAGCCGATACAGAGTGATACTGGACATTCGTTTTTTCATTTATCTATAAGTACAAAGTGTTGATGCAAATTTTTTCAATCTTTAAAATAAGGTGGGCACCGGACATAAATGAGACTTTAGGTAAACAATTCACACCTCCTCCCCCCCCCCACCCCTCCCCCCCCCCCACACACACACACACGAAGCTTTATAGCAAAAGTTGAATTACGATGATGATGAAGATGACTGAACCAGAATTACAATGATACAACATATAAACTCACTCTCTCACGTGTGTTACACTTCATGGTGGCATAATACGGGAATCAACTCTACTTACCCTGTCTCTCTTTGTAATGATAAAATGAAAAGGATAAAACACATAGTTTACTCTCTCGCTTGTGTAACTTCGTGGGCGATACATGATCACAGTTTTTCACTCCCATATACCACTCTCCCTGATGACAGGATGAAACTGACAGAACATAGACATTCCACTCCCATATACCACTCTCTGTGACGACATGATGACAATGACAGAACATAGACATTCCACTCCCATATACCACTCCCTGTGACGACATGATGAAAGTGACAGAATATAGACATTCCACTCCCATATACCACTCTCCGTGACGACATGATGAAAATGACAGAACACAGACATTCCACTCCCATTTACCACTCTCTGTGACGACATGATGAAAATGACAAAACATAGACATTCCACTCCCATATACCACTCTCTGTGACGACATGATGACAATGACAGAACATAGACATTCCACTCCCATATACCACCCTCTGTGAGGACATGATGACAATGACAGAACATAGACATTCCACTCCCATATACCACTCTCTGTGACGACATGATGAAAATGAGAGAACATAGACATTCCACTCCCATATACCACTCTCTGTGACGACATGATGACAATGACAGAACATAGATATTCCACTCCCATTTGCCACTCTCTGTGACGACATGATGAAAATGAGAGAACATAGACATTCCACTCCCATATACCACTCTCTGTGACGACATGATGACAAGGACAGAACATAGACATTCCACTCCCATATACCACTCTCTGTGACGACATGACACCGGATCCTGGAGCCTCAGGTCCCTTGACCTAACCTCCCCCCCCCCCTCCCCCCACTCCGGATCCAAGTTTTTTTTAAAGGGTGGGGTGTTATTCCCCCCTCCCCGCCTTTTTTCTCTCCCCTCCCCTCTCCCCCCCCCCCCTCTCGCCAATAATTAGTGTAACCTCTTTTTGAAGGCGGTTTTTTTTTTAAACCATCTATTCAGGAACTTCCAGTGACTGCAATTAGAGTAAACAAAGATACGATAGTTGCGTCTGATTTTGCCTTAACTTAAACTCACAGCAAGACCGTGCAGCGTGTTATCAAGGAAAACAATTGTTTCCCGACTAGAAACTAGGCAGAGTTGGAATCTGACAGACTAGTGTCACGGTTTGAGGGGTAAGGGGATTTTAGAAGTTGTTTACCTTAGTGCTAGAATATGGAAGCTCAGGTCACTTGGGAGGACGGGGGGTTACCCCTCATACTCCCCTGAATAAGTTGTAGAAACCTTAGAGACCCCCTGTAACTGGATATAGACATTTTCTTTGAAAGTAATTGCTTAAACATTTCGAATTATTTCAAGTGTATAATTATATATACTTGCAGTACAATAATGATAAAACAATAATAATGTGTGGAACTGCACATAAATATAATAATATATCTGAAATAATGCGAAATGCATGAACAAATACATTAAAAGATCACACCTATACAAGTTTAAGTAGGGCACTTCAGCCCCTTACCAAATTATTGAGCTGAAGGGAAAAGGTTCTCAAGGTCCTGAGGCCCCCTCAACATACACATGCGCGCGCGAGCACGCACGCACACATACACACACACACATACACCATTATTTGGCTACAATTTTGGAAGGTGGTGAGGAGGGCGTGGTTTGGGAGTACGCCAATGTTTTCTAATTGAAGATATGTGCTGTGGAGAATCTGAACTCCATCACTTTTGTTGCCTCGCTGACGAGGAAGACGTGGTTGGATGTTGGGGGTTAAAACCCCCCTCTAAGTTTTCATAAATTTTGTTTTGGGTCAAGCGACACCCCCCCCCCCCTTTTTTTTCCCCTTTTTCCCAATTTTATCTTGAAAATGTTAAAGGCGGGGTCGCAGGGGTCGGGTTAAAGCTTCCCCCCCCCCCCCCGTGTTGACTTCGTGCAGAGCACCTGTGACATGATGATAACAATTCCCCTCCAACATACTGTGATGATATGATGATAATGATATGATGCAAAGACCCACTTCGCTAACTAGCGTCACTCTTTATGATAACGGTCTTATTCACGTTTCCCGGCCCATCTACACACTTTCTCAGTCTGGTCTTGGTC